TATATATATATATATATATATATATATATATATATATATATATATATGTGTGTGTGTGTGTGTGTGTGTGTGTGTATGTGTGTGTGTGTATGGGGAGCGATGAACTTTTTAAAAAGAGATAGACATGTATACACATATATCATATACACATACAGTATATCACTCCCTAAACTAATGATATTTTACAAGTTTGTTTTCTAAACAAACTTATTATTTTAAATTTAAGCCAATAGTCTAACATTGAAATTTTTATACAAAAAAAATTCATATTGTCAAAAAATTGAATGTATGCATATGACATATGATATTATTTGCTTTCAGTAAGTCCCTAGCATAATATAGAAATATTTGCATAAATAGATTATTGCGACATGGAGGGGATGCACAATGAAGGAAGGTTGTCCGTATAAGCTGTTACCCAGTCTAGTTAAGTGATCAAGTAAGGCCTTGTAAACTTGAACTATAGAAAGAAAGAAAGAAAAAGAAAGAAAGAAAGAAAGAAAGAAAGAAAGAAAGAAAGAAAGAAAAATTGAACAATGGAGGCCAGAGAAGAGCTCCTAAGTCTAGATATAGCACAAGCTGAGGTAAGTAGCAGATAGCACAAGCTGAGGTAAGTAGCAGGTGACCTTTGGTCACTGCAGCATTGAAGGAGAATAAAGGTTACCACAGGGGATGATGGGACAGGGCCATATGGAGAAAAGCTTTGTGTGCTGAATCGAACTGTGTTGCCTCATTGCTGACTTTCATATGCATTGTCTATAAAGTGGTAATGACAACACGCAGCCTTCAGCCCTGGGGAAATTACACAAAACAATGCAGGCAAACTGCATCACCATGCTCCTGGTAGGCTGCTTACCTGAACTGGCATCAATTTTCTTCTACCTTTGTTCTCCATACATATATCCATACCTGCCCCACCTCTGGCCGCACTTCTTTCATTATCTAAATCAATGTCAACAAATAATTTAAAATCCAGGATGACCTTTTAAGTTGCTAGTGCAATTGTGTAGATGTCAAGATCCTCAATGTAAGCAATGTGTTTGAGGAGGGTTACATGCCTTGCTAACCTGCCTGGGCAACGAGCCATGCCCTGCCCCCCAAGGAGGAAAGCAACTCTGCTTGCTTGCATAGATAACGCACGAAAGATTTCATCAAGGACCATCTGCATTAAGCAGTCTCTGCCGGAATAAGCAGTAGGTTTGACAATTGTTCCAAATGCTCTTGTGCTGAAGAATTTGCTCAGGATCCAGAAGGATTTTGATGGAAAGGAAGCCCTGAACATCTCTTCTGCCCCACAAGTCTGTGTTTTTCAGGGCACTGCCCACCCCCAACATCCATCAGTCCCAGACAGGAAGGAATCCATTCACCATGGAGACCACTCATATAACCTAGAAGATAGGTGCTCCGCTGCTGCCTGCAGCTCCCAGACATACAGTCCACTCTCAGCCCCCAGTGATCTGCCCTGCATTCATTCAAGGCAAAGCACCTTTCCTTCACTCCCTAAACTAATAACACTTCACAAGCTCATTTTCTGGAAATTGCAAAACATATTATTTTAAATTTGAAGCAGTAGTCTAAAACTGAAATGCTTTCTTACACAGAGAATTCAGATTAACAGCAAAATTTGAAAGATTCAAGTCACAGGTCTATTTCTCAGAATCTACAACAGAGTCCCAGCTGAGCCTCTCCCTGTGACCCAGAACTCTCTACTTCTCTGTAATCCCCACTCTTCCTTTACTAATGCCCAGCCTCAACTCCACATCTCTTAGTTCTTTCTTTGCCTACCCCTGTATTTGCATCCTTGAGCAGTAGCAAGGATCTTCATCTCCACTGTCCAGGACAAATACAGCCATGGCAGACAGATTGGGTTCTCCTGTCTCATCCCCCTCCAAGTAATCGTTCAGAGTCTCCTCTTACCCACAGGAAAACATGAGTTGTTTATTAGTACATCTAGCAAGTACTAGGCCATGGGACAGAGTCATTAGGAGGCTCCTGTCCTCAAGAGACCTTGTGAGGACACATATGGAAAGTCCCTGAAAATCGACATGGAAAGACTAAGTTACAACTGTCTGTAACTCCAGCTCCATGGTATCTGATATCTTCAGACTCTGTGGGAACCTACACTCACTTGCTTATAGCCCCACAGAGGTCTCACACATACACAAAACTTACCTTTTTGAGAAAAACTGGAACAGGAGCATTCAGAGGATAGGTTTGTAGTCAATCACATTCCATCGGCTGGCCCAGGTTCTTCCACGTTTCTACCATGATGGGATAGGTAAGGTGCTCAGCCCATCTTGTCATATACGTCTAGGCAGCATGGTCCAATGCAAGGCTTTTAGAGAATTATCTTCAAAATTAGCTTAAGAATGTGTGAAACCTGAGCCAGTTCTATATCATATTGGTTGTATCAAAAAAATTATTTTATTTTTTTTATTTTTATATTAATTACAGTTTATTCACTTTGTATCTCAGCTGTAGGACCCTCCCAATCTCACCCTCTCTCCCTTGTCTCCTCCCTGCCCCTCTCTAAGACCACTGATAAGGGAGGTCCTCTTCCCCTTCCATCTGACCCTAGCTTATCAGGTCTCACCAGGACTGGCTGCAATGTCCTCTTCTGTGGCCTAGCTAGGCTTCTTCTCCCCCAGGGGAGAGAGGGTCAAAGAGCTAGCTACTGAGTTCATGTCAGAGACAGTCCTTGTTCCCCTTGCATATTGAGCTGCCATGGGCTACATCTGAGCAGGGATTCTAGGTTATATCCATGCATGGTCCTTGGTTGGAGAATGAGTCTCAGACAAGACCTCTGTATCCAGATATATTTGGTCCTTTGTTCATCCATATTCATAGCAGCTTTATTCGTAATAGCCAGAACCTGGAAACAACCAAGATATCCCTTGACGGAGGAATGGATACAGAAATTGTACATTTACACAATGAAATACTACTCAGCAATTAAAAACAAGGAAATCATAAAATTTGCAGGCAAATGATGGGACCTAGAAAAGGTCATCCTGAGTGAGGTATCCCAGAAGCAGAAAAACATACACAGTATGTGTATACTAGACTTATAAGATAGGATAACATACTAAAATCTGTACACCTAAGGAAGATAAGGAGGATCAGTCCTCACTTAGAAAGACAAATATGATGGACATTGGAAGTAGAAGAAAACAAGAAACAGGACAGGAGCCTACCATAGAGGGCCTCTGAAAGACTCTACCTAGCAGTGTATCAAAGCAGATGCTGGGACTCATAACCAAACTTTGGGCAGAGTGCAGGGAATCATATGAAAGAAGGGGAAGTTAGTAAGACATGGAGATGACAGGAGCTCCACAAGAATCAAAAAATGTTTTTTGCTGACCCTGAATCAAATAGATTTGGATCCTGACAGTCAAAGGGTATCCTTGCCCCTAATTATGAACTCTTTGGGAGCTGGAGTCTTGCCTATACTTTCACTTCATTCTGCTGGCACTTTATCTCCAGAAGCCTCCTGAAAATTGTCAGTCTAAATAACACTGCAGCTCCTCATGGAAGCACAGCTAAGCAGTTACCAGTTCTCTTCCTCCCCATTAGAGTGACACTGTTAAGGTCAACCACCAGGAAACACCAAGGGTTTTAAAGCCACCTCTTTATTTCCTGAAATCTACCTAGATTGAGCACAGCACATGCACTACAAAAACCCATGTGGAATTTAACTGGGGGGAGTCTCCTCATTGTCTTCTTGTTTGTCACCTCTCAGCCTTAGCCCAGAAGGGGGCAGTGCATTTTTTGTACTAACCTTGCTCTCTCTGTCTCTGACTTACTTCCAGGGGGCCATGCTCTGGACACCCCAAATCCCCAGGAATTGCCTCCAGGACTGTCAAAAAATATCAGTAAGAATCCTTTAACCTTTGCCCAGAAGCTAAGTAAAATGTTGTCTAGGATACTGACAGTGAAAACATACTGAACATACCCTAGGATCTTAACAGCTTTAGTGTATGCAGGTAGTCATAGATGGTAACCAAAAGCACCTCTCCAGCCTCTCTTCCTGACGTATCATGCTCTAGTGCTCCCTCAGCTGAGCCAGATTTCAGCGGAAATACAGAACCAGGAAAGAGTAAATAGGCTGATGCTGAAGGTTACTGTGGGAACTATAGGTTAGCTTTAAAATAAAATGTTTGTATGTAACAATTAATGAAAACAGTAGCCTTGAATTTGAAAGAGAACAAGAATGGGTATATGGTGACCATTTGGAGAGAGGAGAGGGAGGAGAGAAGTTGCGTAACTACATTTTTTAAATTTATTTTGTTTTATTAATTACACTTTATTCACTTAATTACATTTAATCTCAAAAAAAAAAGAAAAGTATTTTATAAATGCACTCTAGGCTTCCTGGTAAGAAAGAAATGAATGCCATGTTGCAGAGTCCTGGTCCAATGCTTGTTCTGTGGTGAAGAGAACGTTGGGTCCCTGTCACTGTGATAACTCTCATTACTGCACATTCCTTACTGGATACTCTAAATATTATATCCATAGACACAATGACTTAGTGCCATGCATTTATCCTCCACAAAACTTCTGAGGTTAAACATACTATACCATACAGAAGTCATTGCTGCCTAGGAATATTGTTCAAAGTTCATCTATATTGCTTTCCATGGTAACCTATATTACAAGAAAGTTAGTTTAAGATCAATGTTGTTCTTAGAAAAAAAAAAAAAAGGCTTAACATCTCTGGCTGGAAAGAGAAATAGAGGCCAAACCAAGACTCTTTAACTCATGTTTGTCTTCCTTCTGCTTAGATATCACATTCTTCAATGGGATGTTTAAAAATGTGGAGAGTGTGGCTGAAATTTTTGGTAAGTGAAACCTGAAGTTGCTTTTATCCATTGAGTGTTAGGATGGAAGAGGTGTTGGAAGCTAGAAGAAATCACTAGGGTCCTGGTCTCTGTTTCTGATTTCCCTAGCCAACTGTCAATAAGTAACTGGCATCCTAGGAGAGTAGGGATATTGTTTAAGGCACGTTTGAGAGTCATTATATGCCCTTATTGTCCTAATTTCCTTGTTCTGGAAAGGAAATGGTACCCCTGTAGTACAAGTGTAGATGCTGATGGGATTAGTTAAGCGGGTTGCTCAAGAGTGCAAAGCTAGAAGAAAGACATTCATTCTTCATGCCTAGACCTTAGCCTCCTATACCAATGTGGTTTGGTTTCTTCTCCCCAACTAGCAAGTACATGGGAATCTTAAAGATTTGAAAGATTGCCACACAATCCATGTGTTTCGTTTCAATTGTACAACTATTCGGACACCATGAGGTTTCAAAATTGGACAATGCCTATCAAATAATGCTATTCCGTGATTGGTGCTGACAAGGCTACTGAAGCCTGCTGTTTGGTTAGAAGAATCTAAGAATGGTATGTATGACTCAGTGTGGGTGCCCTAGAGATCTTTGAATGAAAATGCACATTTGTGTAAGCATACAGGTACATACAAACTTTAGAAAGGTTTTCCAAAAACACTTCCTCATGAGACCTTATTGAAACAAAACGCAAGAAGGGAAGGGAAGTTTGAATGAGGTAGAAAGAAACCAGAATGGGCAAGTGGGCCTGGTGCTCATAGACCACACCTTTATCCCATCAGTTCCTTCTGTGGTCTTGTGCACTCTGAGTGACAGTGTGGGGTCACCGGCTTGAGCATGGAACAGCCTCTAATCAGAAAAGCAGAGGGTGGGGAGGTGAGGCTCAAGATTTAGAGTAGAAATAATCAATATTGGCCTTATTGGTTTATGTGTTGTATGCTTGAAGGTATATCATCAGCTGGTGCCTTAAGCATATCTCTAGAGGACCATTGGTGTCTTTACCTCTGATGTGGAGCCAATGAATAGTGCCTACCTGGCAGGATTTCTGTGAAGTTTGCAGCATTGCATACAAAATCTTTGCAGTACATCACACCCATGACCAGTTTGAACTATTGTGGCACTGGAAATATCTAGTGAGGTTTCTGGTGCAGACTAGATGCTCAAATACTGTGTGTCTGCGTGACTTTCCCTTCCACTTTCTACACTGGCTCATAATTTCTAGTATTATCACCATGCCACTGGAGATTCGATCAGCAAACTAATAACTCAACAGATCATAAAGTATGTAATATATTTCCATTTTGCTTTTTTATTTATCCTTCTCTCATATATTACATCCCAACCACAGTTTTCTCTCTCTCCTCTTCTCCAAGTTCCTCCCCAACATCACATCTCCCCCAAATCCACTCCTTTTCCCGTCAGGAAAGAGTAAGCCTCCCATGGATAGCAACCAAATGTGACATATCAACTTACACCCTCACTGTTAGGAGTCCTACAAGAATACCACACTACCCAACCATACCATATAGACAGAGGGTCTAGTCAGACCCATGCAGGCTCCGCCATTGTCTCTGTGAGCCCCTGTGAGCCCTAGTTAGTTGAGTGTGTGGGTCATGTTCTGTGGTGTCCTAACTTTTACACAGCAGATAGTCTGAGTGTACCAGGATGGGTGCAGTAGCTGGGCCCAAGTAGCAGAGTTCCTGAAGGTTTGTGCTACGTTCCACTGCTGCCCTCCCTAGTCATACTGGTTTTTTCACTTTACCCTAGGGTCTGGTTGTTTCAGTTTAACTGCTGTAGTTCCAGCTGGCATATCCATACTTAAGGAAGGAGAGAAGTATAGCTCAAAAGGATTTTCTTTTCTTTTTCATTTTCTTTTTTTTATATGTGCATGTGTTGTATGTGTGTTTGTGTGTGTATGTGTGTGTGTGTGTGTACATATTGGCAAGTGTTGAGGTGCATGAGTGTTTACAACATATGTGTGTATATGTCTGTGGAGGGCCAATATTGTTGTGTGAGTTCTTCCTCAATTGCTCCCTACCGTGTTGTTTGATTCAGTGCAACTCAGTTAAACCCAGAGCTCACTAACCAATAGGCACAGTCTTCCTAATCAGCTTGCTCTAGGGATCTACTAGCTCTGTCCTCTGAAGCTGAAATTACAGCGATCTGCCACACTCACCTGACATTACATGGATTCTGAGGTAGCAAGCAGTTTAAAAGCTAGGCCCACTCCCCAGCTCCAAGTGGACCTTCTACTTCTGTATTAGGAATGAAATATTTTCCAAAAGTCTTTGACAGACTGTTAAGTCTTTTTCAGCCAGATCTGCGGAATCTACTTAGTCAGAGCCTAGCCACTGACATGGACGTCCAGTGTTACAGCCACCAGCAGAACCTAATAGTGAGACTCACTCAGAAACTTAGTAAACTGGTGTACCTTCCTGAGAACTTCTCAGTGTCACTCAGAAGGGAGAGACTAGTATTTATCAGGTTTGTGTAACTAATTTTTTTTAACCAATTGCATAGCATGCAGTAACTACACTCACGAAGTCACATCAGCTGGGAAGCAGGAAGTCTAGGGGACGGAGCTCCTCCTGCTCTTGAGTTCCCAGTGCCCACCAGTACCTGGTCTCCCCACCCACAGACTGCCTAGGCTCCCACTTCACCTGGCTGCAGGCTGTCTTCACCAACTTCCCTCTGCTGCTCCAGTTTGTGAACAGTATGAGGTGTGTGGCTGGCCTCTGCCCCCGGGACTTTGAAGACTATGGTTGTGCCTGCAGGTTTGAGATGGAAGGGCTCCCTGTGGATGAGTCTGACAGGTGAGTAACCACAGGTAAGCTCACTGCAGCCTAGTGACACCTTTGTTGAAATAACTGTAGACGGAGACCTGGAGGAGAGACTCAGGTGAGATCTAATTCTGTTACCTATAGGAGGGAACCGCCACCCATCTCTACACAGTAACCAGTGATGTTGTTGTAAGTGATTACTGAGAGCCTCTGATATGGCAAACCTCTATCACACAGATGCTCTAAGATGGGGTTCCCTGCACTGATACCACTAACATCCTTGTTATAATGTGGATTCTTGAGGCACAAACTAGCCCTATCAACTCAATATACATTTAGGTGGATCTCAGAAGCTTTATCCAGTTTATGTCTACTGGAGGAAAAGCAACCATGAGGGTTGCTATTCAAATGTCAATAAACATAAACAATAACAACCCCTAAGTGCTACTGTTAAGAAAATCATAACACTACTCCTGCCTTAGTATAGAATGCAAGAAAATGAACATGGCCCTAATGATGTGTTCCATCCCGTGGACAAGGAAACTGCATATGTAAACAAAGTACCAAGGTTAGCAATGACAATTAATGCAAGCTTTAACTAGGATGTCATCAACAGGCACAGGAATAGGACGGCTGACTGAGCTATTCACTGATTTGGGAAATCTGTTGCTCTGTGTTCACATTCAAGGACTATTCCCTATGACTCAGCAATTCCCATTCTCTGCTCTTTACTGGCAAGTTACTTAATTTGTTTATATTCCACTTTCTTTACCTTAAAAATGGAGGTAATTGTAATGCCTACTTCAGGGTCACTATTTTGGATTAAATGACTAACTATAACCTGGTTATGGAGTATCAGTAACCATGGAGGCAAGGCAGGGCTTGTAGAAGCAGTAACAATAGGGATTATAGTAGCAATAGCTGTAGCAAGGTAGCTGTCATAGTATCAATACTGATGATAATGATACGAGAGTAATAGCAGCAATAGCAGCAGCCATAGCATAGAACAGGGCTAGCATAGTAGTGGCCGTAACGATAGCAAAAGTATCAGCAACCGAAAGCACCCAGAAATAGAAAATTGAACACGGATCACAACTCAGCTCTACTCAGCTCAACTCAATGCTACTCTATTATTAGTACCCTATCTCACTTGCATTATCCTGTGCCCCAATTCCAATGCCATGGGGCATGTGCTTTCTTTCATCTGTGTGGGCTCAGAGAAGGCAGGAAGGGCTCTCTATGGAATCGCCATATTTAACAGCTCATACCTGCCCTGGCACATTTCTCCCTAAAAGACATCCTGCTCCTGCTGCCTTGGTTCTCTGCTCTCCAAACCTCAGAACTTCTCTTTTGTTGCAAGCTACATAGGCAAGTGTGAATACAAGGTCGGTCTCTGGACTGCACTCTTTGTCCTCTAAGAAGGGAATGCACCATGCCCGTGTGTGTGTGTGTGTGTGTGTGTGTGTGTGTGTGTGTGTGTGTGTTTGTGTGTGTGTGTGTTTGTGTGTGTGTTTGTGTGTGTGTGTGTACTCCCAGTAAGTGACCCCACAGATTGAGGAGGTGATTTTCCTCTAACTCTCTTTCAGAGCTTAAAAACAGATTAATTGAAAAGGATGCGTTATTGGTTGATATAGAATAATAGCTCTGTGTTTAAAAAACAAACTATCCTCACCTTGAAACCTGCAGGAGAAGAGACAGGTTGCCTTTGGTCCACAGGGCTAACTTTCCATTTTAGGGACCAGGATCAGGCAGTTGACACTGGGATGGGAATGGGCAGGTTCTGCAGGGTACATGAGGTCAGGACCATTTCTGAGAACATATTTTCCTGTCAAGTCCCGCATTCCTGCTTCATTTAATTCTTTGAACACCCAAGAAACCTAGAAGTCAAATAAACAAAGGAGTCATTTATCACTGTCTCCTCCCCAGAAGGAATGATCAAAGGACCTGTGTCCTCACACTGGTGGGATGGTGGGCTGAATCTAATTTCAGTTTCTGTGTATTTTGGTCAATAGGGTGGGTGGTTCCAAATCCCCTGGAAGACGGATTGTTTCTACCTTGAACTTACACACCTAAGAGTCCTAAAATATTTGCTGCTGTTTATTGAAATAGATGTTTTCTTAAGTCCAAAAAATCCTCCTTAGGCAGGATGAAAGATGTATCCAAGGTCATCATACTTTCACATGCTTTCTTTGTTGCAATGTCCTCCACTGACCGCTCCTTCGTTATGCGAGCCCTTCAACCTTCTAGTAGCAGTGTCATCTTGCTGGTGGCCTTGGCTAGATTAGAGAATTATGTGTCTCAGAATCTGCATCTGTAAAGGTTCACAGTAGTCATCATGCTGGCACAGCTTCCATGGGAGGGTGAGAGGAGTTACCCTTGTCCAGTGCTCAGAGCAGGCAATAGATGGTTAGGACAGCTAGTGTTAGCTATAGTAACAAACGCAGCAGTAAACATCCTCGTTCCCTCTCAGACAAAGGAATTGATGTCAGGAGCTCCTTTGCCATCCAGTGTCAGGTCCTGTCCCATTCTGTAGTTCTCATTGTGGCTTCCTTGGCACCACAACCATTTCTCCTCAAGCCCAGAAATGGCCTCCAGCCTTGACATCCACAGCAGGCTCACTAGAAAAACATTAATTGTAAATGCTCAGAACAGTTCCTGAAGTACTGAAAGGTATCAGCTCTTATTATAAGACTCATATAATATTAATTTGAAAAGAAGGTAAGTAATGTTCCTAAAACAAATCTCTGGTGCTTGATGGAGCTGGTCCAGCTACAGAGTCCCAGTCAGCACCTCCCTGCACCTCAAACTTAGAACGCCAAGGCTGCTAGTATCATATGGAGTCTCATTCTTCTTCTTCCTGTGCCCCAGCTCCAAGAAAGGCAATAGAGAGCAGCCCACAAGTCTGTCCATGGTAAGAGAGGCAGCGACTGGCTCCCAGCCTGGGGTCTATAAGCCAGTCACTGCTGAAAGGCTGTTTCCCTTTCCTGGTCTTCAGACACTGCTGAATTCTCAATGAATCAAGCTGGAGCCTTGGAGACTTCCCTGATGTCTGAGGGTTTCTCCATTTACAAACAAAGACCAAAGACTTCCTTAGTTCCTGTCTTTCTCCAGCTCAGATTTGATTTTGAGCCTTGGAACACCCTGAAACCTATGTCTGCATTAACTGTAGCCACTCAGAACTGATGTATGCTAGATAGTCTGTCATATCCCACGGTGTAACCTCACATCTGTCCCTTGGCTCCCTGGGTCCTGAAGGTCCCGTCTGCACACAGTGGAAGAATCTGCATATTCATTTAAAACATGTTATCTTTAGTGTTCTTGTTAATATTGTATCATATAATCCAAGCTGCTCCTGATAGCCACAACTTTGACTAAGTGATAAATAATTGACTCGTCCACAGAATATGAATTCTTTCCCCTCTCTTCTCTTGCTTATCATAAGTAACAGGCTCAAATATCTCTCACGGATGTGGTAGAAGAGAGACAGTTTTGTAGTGCAGAAACCACCTGTGCTGTAAGAGGGTTTGTGCATCTCACACAGAGATCCACATACCGGAAGCGGGAACGCTCTGTGGCTCGCTGACTGATGTTTGTCACTTTCTGTTTCCAGCATAGTTGCTGGGGTCTCCCTCATCTTGATCCTGATTACTCAAAGGTTAACCCATCCCCTCTTTCTCATCCTCATGGATCTCTTTTTGTTATTATTATTATTATTATCTTCATCCTCTCCCTTTTCTTTTCTACTCTCCTTCTCCTTTTTGAGGCATATTTTCTTATACAGCCCAGGCTAGTCTTGAACTTGTAATCTTTCTGCCTCTCCAGTTCAGGGATGATAGAGAGGTACTACCATAGCTGACTTCAAGGTGAGGAGAAATTACCCTACAAAATGTCCTTGGCCTTGCCACCACTGATTATTTTAAGGAAAAAATAGAGTTGCCCCAACATCTCTAGCAAATGAAGATTCGTTAGAGAAGTCAGCTCCTGTTTGAGGTCAGGAAGAATGACAGAGGCAGATGGAGAGGGGCAACTTCTCCTATTAACACTCACTCAGGTGGATGTGGAAGGTGGTGACAATAGCAAAAGTAGCATCCAAATACAGTGCTCAGACAAAGCCTGGTACAAGCCTATCCTCACCTTTCCTGGACCATTTGCTAAGATCCAGGACCATGTGACTGGCCATAGACACCTGCACATTGGGCAGGGGTGATGCACTCTTCCATCTAAAGTATGTGGGATAGCAGGTGGTGTGTGAAACAGATCACTGCCAGGTACCAGCCAGACATCAGAATGATCCCAGCATGCCTGCCCATCTGTATCCTAACTATGCTCTCTCTCTCGATCCTGCCTAACCTGCCTCAGCTGCTGCTTCCAGCATCGCAGGTGCTACGAGGAGGCTGTTGAGATGGACTGTCTCCAAGACCCTGCCAAGCTCAGCGCAGATGTAGATTGCATCAACAAACAGATCACCTGTGGTGAGCATTTTCAGACCTCCTAGAGCAGGGGCATGAAATGACCATTGTGGTCTACTTGGGATTTGCCAGCACCATCAACATCATCAGCAGTGTCATTGTTGGCACTTGGTTGATTGATGTATTTGTGGTTCACATATAGTTAATGTGCAAATGAATGCTTTTTTATGACTGAAGCAATGGTTTGTTGGAATATTAACTGACTTATAATTTATCTATACTGTAGCAGGTTGTAAGTGGAAATAGTTTTCTATTTATTAACTGTGTAACTGTGGGATAATTTCTTAGCTTCTCTTAACTACAGAACAGGGAGGAGAAAACCTCCTTCAAAGAGATGTTATGGAAACTGAATTAAGCCCGAATGAGAAATGGTTAATGCAGTGGCTGGGGCAGAGTGAGAACTTATGATCATGTATGGAGGTAGAAACAGTGGTGAGAGGTCAGGCTGGTGCTGGCTGCTGTTTGTGAGGGACAAGTGCATAAGTTGTGTTCCTGTGTAAGAACCTATTTACCATATGACTCTGGGAATATTATTTCACGTGTCTAGGCAGTCCTGGGAGAAATACAACAGGCAAAGGCACAGAGGGGGGAGAGTATATAGCAAGTTGAGGTGCTAGATTGAGCAAGTCTCCTGGGTGCCCACTGTAGACCTTGTTCCTGATGCACAGCAACTCTCATCTTCCATCCCAACAAACCGTTAAATGGAAACCACTGTTCTTAGTTTTCAGACAAGAGAAGGAAAGCTCTGCTCTGAGAGATTAAACAACCTGGCTAAAGTTACATAGGTATGCAACTGTAGGCTTTGAACCAAGGTCCCAGTGACTCCCAAGTCCAGATGCTCAGCTGGGTGGAGCCTGGAGCATTAACAGAGGGTAGAGGGAGGCACTGAGGAAATGATGGAGAGAAACCAGTGGAAATAGAAAAGGGCATATCCATCCATGCACTCAGAAAACACATCCTGAGTATCTCCCCACGTGAGACTGCTGCATCCATATAGGGGCCCTCCTGACCTTCTGGACTGTTGCCTGGATGGTCAGTGCCTTGGTTACTTTCTTCCTCCTCTTGACAGAGTATCTGACAGGAACAACTTAGAAAGGTTTAAGTTGGCTTCTGGGTCAGAGTATATAGTCCATAGCAATGGGGAAGCACAGTAGTGGAAGCAGATCACTGCCTGAACATCAAGAGAATAAAAAAGTTGTTTGTATGGCATCAGTCTAAAAACAGAGTATTCAGGCTAGAAGCAGGGATAGACTCTTATCTCCTGTATGCTCTCCTGTGCTACCTCATGAGCCCATGGTTCATGAGCTTTTCCTCTTCTCTTCAGCAAAATTTGACAGGCCTAATCTGAAAGTCTTGTGTAGATAATCTCGGCCACTCCAACTTCAGAATGGAAACATCCGTGCCACATGTGGAGGATGATAATCCACAAAGACCCCCAGTGACCTTCCAATCTGTGCCCCACCTCATCTAGCAAATCTCTACCTTCTAAATGTACTGCAATCTCCCGTGCAATCAGCTGGGGAGCAAGTAATCAAACACATGAGCTTGTGGCTGTCATTTCACATTCAAAGCATGGTAGTTAGGCACTGCAAATGTGTTATGTGGTGACAGGAGTTGTGGAGGAAACAAAGTCAGGGAGATATGTAGGGTGGGCTGGGTGGTACTCTGTTTAAATGAGAAGGGCATTTGCTCAAAGCTTCTTTGAGCAAAGATTTGAAGAAGTAGTAAGCAATTCTTACTTTAAGTGAAGGTGAAGAGTGACCGAGCAGAACATGACAGGCTGAAGGGGCGAAATAGGGAACAGAAGGGGATAATAAGAAGTGTGGAAAAGATGGCATCAGGGAGAAATGGAGGTGGTGGATAGGGACAATCACACAACACTTCCTAGGTGACTCTGGGAAGTCAGCAGGGGCTCTGAATCAATAGACATGCTTCGATTGAAGTGTTTTATTTTTAATTTTTGTACCCCTAAGGGTGGAACCCAGGACCTCTTGTGTGCTAGATAAGTGCTCTCTACCACTGATATACCCTCTGTGTCTTACTCTAGCCCTTGATCTATTTGGGATCCCTCATGACAGAATTGGGAAGGCTAGTCTGTGGTCCACTGACATGAATGGGCAGGAGAAGGTGGCAGAGTATGGAAGGATGTGAACAGTCCCCAAAGTGGATACAGGCAGAGCCAAAGCCAGTACAGCAGACTAGGCTAGGCATGTGTGTGACCCCAGGTTGGGTCCATTAAGCCAAAAAGGTGACACTGTCATTACAAAGTTACAGGGAGAGCAAGTTTGGACAGGGCAGACCGAGAGTCCTGTTGGAGCCATCATTGCCTATTGGGGTTCCAAGTTTGATCTCTCTCCCTTGCTCTACCTTTGCTGTATGCAGAGTCCGAGGATCCCTGTGAGCGCCTGCTGTGTACCTGTGACAAGGCTGCTGTTGAATGCCTGGCTCATTCTGGCATCAACTCTTCCCTGAACTTATTGGATGCTTCTTTCTGCCTGCCTCAGACTCCAGGTGAGACAACCAGGCCTGAACCCCAAAGTAGGGTTGAACATTGGGCAGGAGCTTCGGTGGGACTGAGTGTGGCTGCCTGTCTTCAGATGCCAAATACAGCCCTTCAACATCTGAGCCCACTGCTACAGCCACACCACCATGTGTTTCCTTGCAGAACCAACTAGTGGGAAGGTCCCAGTGACGCTCCTGCCTAGAGGTAAATTCCCAGCATAGCTGGTTCCTTCCTCCAGTGGCTGACTCACAGAGGCTGGTGCCATCAATGAAATTGGCTCTGCCTCCTTTTGTTATGAGACCAATATAAATATCCAGTATCAAAAGATGCTAGTGCCAACTCTACCCTAGCTAGTAGGTACGATGTGAATTTAATCCAGTGAAGGTGTACAGAGCCCATGTTCTTTTTCTCTGTGTAGTCAGGGGCCTGGTACAGAATGGGACGGGGGCAGCACCTCAGGCTCAGATGAACATGGATCTCACTCCCTGACTTGTGTCCACTGAGGCCTCCCTAGAATGGACCCTGCTTCTTCTCCCTTGCTATTTCCTCCTTACTTCCCAGAGCCTGAGCAGAAAGCACAACCTTGCTCAGGTAGCTCTTTTCAAGGGAGAGGTTGTTTATCCTGTGAGCATCTGGAGGCACTCTTATATAATTCATGCTTCTTACTCTAAAATATGGGTCTTATGAAAAACAATAAGTCAAGTTTATGGCTGCCATTTCTTGTTTGTTAGAGTTTCTCTGCTTTCTCATTGCCAATACCTTTAGGTACCTGGGGATGGTCCGCTGTCAGTTTGTTGTCACATCTATCCTTTCCTTAGGCTCGGGTCTCTTCCTATAATTAACTGTGTAATTTTTAAGGGGCAAGCCACAGTGTATGTGTTGGGCGGTAGGTATGTGGGTGTACATGGGGAGTGTGCATAGGTGTGAATATTGTACATGCATGTGTGCATTGCCAAATATGGTGCATATATAGGTGTGAGTGCTAAGTGTTCATGGGTATGGGGATGTACTTGTATGAATGTGGGGTATACACAAGGATGTGTGGACATACAGGTTTCTCTGTGCATCTTCCACATTCTGTACTATTCAGTACATTCACTTTCTATTCTGTCTGTCCTGCCTTCTTAGCAAAGGTCTTTTAATCTTGGGATACCTTCCAGGGTCTATAGCTCTTTTACTGCCTTCATCTTATGGCTCAGATAGCCCTCTTCCTCCACCAGAATCCAGCAGCAGCTGTGATTCCTCCTGAGTCAAACAGTGGTGGTCAGCCCATGTTCCTGGAGGAGTAAGAGCCAGGGAACTCTCAGCTAGAATGGACAACTCTTCCACGAAGACTCCTTTCTTAGGCCCTCCCTCCCTTGGCCCCTCAGTACCTAGCTTGCTCAGCTTAGGTCCCTTGAGGTTTTCTTCTTGCTGTTGGAGGCTCTCTTTTTCCAGGGGTTCCTGAAAAGCCCACAGACAGCAGTCAGATAGCCCTGTCAGGAGAAGGTAAGTATGAACAAACATGTGACCCAACCACCTTTGTCCCATTTGTGCCACTCCATACTGGCGGGATGACATCAGCTCCCCCATATGTTCCTTGCCTGCTTTGTTATGGAGCTGAGTAATTCCACAGGCCTTGGTCCTTTCCAGCCAGAACCTCTTTTCTATTCCCTCGGTTTTCTCTTGTCCCTCTGTCTTCACCTCTGGAGGGTCAGAGATATGATGCTGCAGGCTCATCCAGAGGTACAGCTTCAGGCTTGTCCAGATGGACAACGCTCTATTTTAATGTGCCTTCCAGGTCTTGTTTGGATATACTTATGCCAGAAAGTGATGTGTTGCTCATCCAAAATTCAAATTTAGTGGGTGTATTAAATATATAGCTGGCTCTTAGCGCAGTCACTCTATATAGTTCTCCTTCGGGGAACTGGAATTTTCCCCTTTCCTTGGTCCTTATGCACAATCTGTTTCCCTGAACATGGAACTGGCTCAGGGGCTCAGCTTGATCCATAATCAAGTGGTGTCTCCTTTCCACAGTGGCTGGTGAGATGAGAGAAGACAGACCAACAACACTCTCCAGGACAAGTAAGCAGAGCCAGGGAACTCTGAGGGAGTTCCCTGAGGAGGTGCTGGGCACAGTGGAGATGCTGCCCAAATCCATGTGCTCTTTTTCAGTGGCTACTACTGGATGGGGCCCCAAGGGAAATATAGTGCGCATTTACAGAATATGTAGGACAGTGAGGCTTAGGAATCTTAAAATTTCTGTCGCTCAGCCAAAATATCAAACAAACAAACAAACTTGATGACCTGGCGTTAGCCCGGAATTCAATGCAAGTATGACCATCAAATCTAGAAATGTCTAAGTCAAATTTCAGTTGGTGAGCCTGACTTAAACAGACATGCTCATGGTGGTTAGCAACCATGTAATTATCCTAGGTGTAAGCAACTGACAATAATTATTTGCTACTTACAATCAATGAGTAAATTGATACTGGCTGACGGGCAGTACCACCATTGAAGGTCACCAATGTGTAGGCATTAGTCACCAGACGCACCAGACTCTAGATCCTCCCTTTTCCCAGGAATCCTGTTATTATTCCATGAAGGAGGGGAGGGGTCATTCACCTAGTATGTGTCAGCTCTGAAGTCCTTGGGTCTGAGCAGGTAGGTTTTGCTTTGAAAAGAGCAGTCTGCTCAATAGAGGACAGTCCAGATGTCCCTTTAATGTGGCAACTGCATTCACAGTCAGCTTCAAAGCCTGAGTTTTATACAACACTACCATTGTCTCGACCCACAAGTATGTAAAGCTGAAGTTCGTGTTCCCCTTTCCTTATGAGTCACCATCTCTCTTCTTTATGATACAGTGGAAAGTGAAAGTGGAGCTTAAGATGATGCCCGAGTCTCAACCTCAGCTGGCATGACACTTCATCCCACCACTGCCTAACTTCTTAATTCTTGAGGAGTGTCTTAACTCTCTTGTATGTTTATTTTCTCAACTCTGAAAGAGGAGTGAGCAGGAGACTCCTATTTGTGAGCTTCCATAAAAGTGAGTCAGAACAAAGTCCTTATTGTCATATCATTTGGAACACAGTAGGAGGTTTGTAAAAGTTAAGAAAAGTCCAGGACTCAGCTGCTCTCCTAAAGCCAACAGCAGCATGCCATTCTACTCCCCCCGGACTGCCCACTGCTTTGTTTAAATATAAGATTTTTTTTTCTTCCCATATTTTTCACCCCCAATTTCTTCATAATATACATTCTCAAAGCTTTTCTACAAATTCCCCTGCATTGCAAGCTGCTAGGACATTTGTCAACAAACATGTGGGAGAAGGGCAGGTCAGTTTGGGCCCCGTACTCTGCCTCTGGAGACCAAGGCACATAGTAGTGTTGACACTCAGTCTGTCTGTCTCCTCTTCGAGCAGAGTCTGTTCAAGATCTTGAAAATGTGGAAGCTGCTAGGACCACATCAAGTCCAGGTAAGCACATTTGGCTCCCTCTGCCTTTACATATATAAGCTTGTGAAATCAATCAATGGATTCCAAAGGAGCTTTGGACCAAGCTCTAAGTGGAAGAAAGAATTGAACACAATGTGTCTCTATATTCCTTCATTAAGAACACATGCAGAATTAAAAGACATATTAGCAGGAAACAATGAGAAGTTCTCAGGTAAAGACTTGTTTGTGAAATTATAATTTGTTTTCCATTTAAAAACACTTGTTATTCCATTATGCAAAATCAGATACTTTTAGTATTTATGGTATTTTCTAATAGCCTCATGTATTACTTTTTTATTACTGTGATAACACAGCATAACCAAGAAAACTTATAGAAGTAAAAGCTTAGCTCGGGCTTACAATTTCAGAGTGCTAAAGTCCATGATGACAAAGTAGAGGGAGCAGGTGGTAGGTGGCTGGAGCAGAGGCTGAGAGCTCACATTTCAAACAGCAAGCGGGGAAATAGAGCTAACTCAAAATGGTGCCTGTATTTTGATAACTCAAAGCCTGCCCCCAATGACACACCTCCTCTTAAAGGCTATGACTTCTAATCCTCCCCAAACAGTTCCAAGTATTCAAACATAGGAGCCTGTGGGGCCATTCTTATTCAAACCACAAGCAGCTTTACTGGGCAAAGGATGCAATCAGGCTGTCTGTCAAGTTGCATAAAGAACCTTCACATAATTGTAAATAGGAAGAAAAATAGCTGTAGTACTTGAACAAGCAGGTCAAGAGTTCAAAGGCTTAAGGGGAAGGTCTGCTTGTTACGTGGCACCCTACCTTTTTCTTCCTTCTCTTTGCCTCTTTACTTGCTGAGAGCATCTATACAGGTCCTGTTGCAGGTGTACAATTGTAAACATAGTACAATCCTAAGCCTGACCGATCACCACAGTCCTCACCCATGAGCTGACATGTAGGTGGGTTAGCTCAGGCTCCTGTAGAATCCATGAGTCTGCAAACAATGTGCACTCTCTTTACATGTCTGTGTTCTGAGTGTTTGCATTTGGCCTTGACCGTGTGTTCATCTGCAAATGACTCTGGGTGACTCTTTAACTCTGAACCATTAAGTTGTCTATTTTCAGGATCTGCAGAGATTGTTGCCATAGCTAAGGGTGCAACCCATGCTGCTGCTGGCATGAAACCATTGAGGTTGGGAGTATCATCTGTTGGCAATGGCTCTCAGGAGACAACTGGAAAAGGTAGGTGAGAGGCATCATCCAGGAATGTCTGGCCTCCCCACCCTGGAAATCTTAAATCTAGCTCTTAACAAAGACTTTTAGGCTACATTATAGATTGTGACCATCTCCTGCTGATGCAACTAAAAGGCATCACATACACCCTTTACTAAGCAAGTTCTTTAAGGTTCAAGGGTACGAAGCTTACTTTTGTCCTTCAGCTGCTATGAGTCTGAGTCTGAGCAAGAACCAGGGTTTTCTGCCCCCTGGCTCTGTCTCTTCATCACTCTCCTGGCCTAGAAGACAGGATCTTGGCTGCCTTCACATTGTATGTGGTGGCTAACTAGAAAGATGAAGCAGGTGGGTACTACCGATTATCCTATCTTTCTTCCCTTTCATTGCCTTCCCAAAGAATCCACACTTGGGAAGAGCTCTAGTCAGTAGGACACATCTGGGGAAGCCTCCAATGGTGTCCAATGCAGAACTGTGGAGAATGCATATGAAAGTTGTAGGCAGGTGCGGAAGAGCATGAGGAGAGACTGAGACAGAATCAGAATGAGAAAATCCAGAGCTTTGTAATACAAAACATGCCAAAACATGATGTGTCCCCAAAAGCCTAAGAGGACAGCTAAGACCCTGCAGGCTCCTAGGCTTTTCTCAACAAAAGGGTGTGGTCCACAGGGCATCTTTCGTCTTGACAAGTCCTATTCTTTATGAAGATTTTATAACGAATTCAGTAGAGCATAAAAAGCCAAACTGAAGAGGAGTTGTTCTTTGAAACAAAGAGAACAAGGCACAGGAGAGTGGTGATCTGAGATCCACCCAAAGTAGTTTTCATACGATGTGAAACACCATTCCTCTTAGGAACTCTGCTCTAGTTCTCCGGTGTTCTTAATTAGCTTGTGACAGATTGGCCTTCCTGCATCTGGGAGATGGGGATAGCATGCAGGCCATGCTACAGCTTGGAGAGATGCTCTTCTGTCTAACATCCCGTTGCCCAGAGGAATTTGAATCTTATGGCTGTTACTGTGGAAGAGAAGGAAGAGGAGAGCCAAAGGACACCTTGGATAGGTATGGATGGGGAAGAGTGGTGCACAAATGGCAAATGAGGTTGCTAGCTTCTGTAAGGGCCCTTATCTGCATTGGGCTGTACATCAAGTCCTTTAAGGAATGGGGTCTTGGCATCTATTCTTACTTAGGGTGCCATTATAACACTACAGACCAACTTTCCCAATAAGCAGCTGGGTTTAACTCTTTGTCTAGTAAAGGAATAAGTCAGGTTGAGCCAAATCTCTTGATGTCTCATTACAACCATAGACTACCACGCATCCTAGAAGGACCAGCTTGCTAACACACATTGCATGACTCTACACTGACCTCTTATGAAATGGTCCACATAGAAACTAGAGGCCTGCACTTGGTTAACTCAGAAGAAGGCAACGTTTAATCTATACTCCTAACTTTTAAGTGCATTTGCTAAATTTCACAACCACCACTTTTCAGGGAATTTCCTTGGCTTCATATACACATCAATCACTTACATACAAATTCAGCCCACATCTTGGGGGGCTTTTTCGTGTGACAGGCACCAAACAAAGTAGTAGACATACAAAAATGATTATGGCTAAACAAGGCAGAAAAAAAAAAAACAAACTTTTATGAACAAGAGATGATTTCACTGAGTTAGACAATTAGACAAAAGTACATAGATGAAATAAGTAATTATGTGGGATCCACCTTGGGTTGAAAGAATATTCCAAGAACACAGTTGATAGGATCTGGAAGACTGATTACCCATTATCCACCCACCCACTCATCCACCACTACCCCCATTTTAGTGCTTACCATTAACATAGATTCCTTTTTCTCTACTGCCTGATCATTCAGGCTGTCAGTGAAAGAAATCAAGGACACCCTCCCCCCAAATCCTCCAACAGGAATGAGCCTACTGAGATTTTAATTGTAGCAGTTAAAGCTGCAGTGGCATCAAATATGTTTATATAATGAGAGGCCACAGCATGCCCTCTGTCCTCCATGACAGAGGGAACTTTAATAATGTCAATATTACATAATACACAGAACTCTTCAGTGAGATAATGAAGACAGGGACATAGCCAGCAGCAGTCTCTATGTCCCATTAAATCTCGTGAGAAAAAAATGGGGACAAATTTGGAAGTGCCTTCTGATCACTGACCATATTTCATCAAAATATGAAGTTTGAGCAGTTGAGAAATAAGTCAGTATAGTTTTCTGACATCTACAGAAAAATCAAAACCCAAAAGTTCTACGTAGAAACTGTGAATCGCAGCTTGTTCCACTGGTGTCATGCCCTGCAAGAACACAAGTTCACTATTACGTATTCCGTTAAGTCACAAACAGGTGATTTGCATGAATGTGTTGATCACTTTTGATTCCTAATGATAGTAACTTTAGATTGCAACTATTGTGTTCATTTTCAATCCCACTCCTGTAACCGCAGGAAATACACATATAAGACACCATGGCTCAACTGTAATGGTAGCTGAAAATGGGGCAGTCACTGACATCAGCTATTGGGTAATGTGAATGTGTGATGTGGGATTATTTTGCCTGGCAACAAAATTGGTAAAGCTGCCATGTGGCTAAGAACAGCGTACAAGTATGATCATCCTTTGTTGGGCTGCGGTCCCCAGGAGGAAGCACATTGAAACTCACAGTTAATCCTCACGCTAATCCAAGAAGGCAGCTCCATTGTGTCTCCTACTTCACAGAGGAAACATATTCAAAAGGCAAAAGAAAAAATGGGAAAGTTGGGATATGGGCTGGAAAACAGCATTGCCTTAGACCTGAAACCTCCACTTAGCTGGCCAGTGGATTTTAAATGTCTATGGATAGCTAAAAGCACTGCACTAATGCATAATTGTAGACCACTATTAACTGGCACCTTTACAGGTGTCCTACAGACATCATCCAGCTGAGGATGATACTGAAGATGTTAGGCCAGAAGATGTATCTGCACACAAGACATTGACTCATTTACTTGTGTTTATTGGGGCCCCAATTTGTGTTGAACCTGTGCTGGATGCAGGTCTTCGAGGGATAAAGAGATGACCTATAGGTGTGAAGCTAAGTATTCTATTGTGTAGAAGGTTAGATAGAGAAGGATCACTATATTGTCATGAAACACATCAAGCTCAAGGGGCAACCTTCCTGAGAAACCCTTCATTCCCATCTGCTGGAAAGGTGCAAAGATGAGTTGATTTGCCATCAATAATAATAATAAAAACTGTAGAAATTCAGATATACAGAATGGAGCTGATGCTATGGTCGAGGCAGCCTCTTGGCCCTATACACAACTTGACCAGCCTTTGAGGTGTGTAGTAGCTTGCCTTACATACTCAAAAAAGAGCCCTTGGCACATCTCAGCACCACACACAGTATGGAGAAAAATGACCTTATGGAGGGTACTGGATTAGTGGGGAACTCTGGGAAATAAAGTTTCCTTGGCCTTAGGTGCTGTTTGTCCCATCACTGCTGTTTGGAGCAAGTGAGACACCTGGGCTGCCTGCATGGGAGGCATTCTCGGTCATCTGTCGTATGTGAAGACCACACAACCAAGTGTAAGTGTGGTCTTTGCCTACAGTCCTCATGTTATTGTGTCTGCTTTCTGGCTGAAGCTGGGCTACAGCTACTTCCCCTAGCACTTCTTCGTTTGTACCATGATCTCATGTTCTTCACTTTGAGGCAGGTCCTTATATCTCTTTCCATGGATGAGGGGCTCATGTTCAAGAGCCAGAGTCTGCTCCCTTAAGCATCAAAGCTAATTGACAATCTCAGTAGCCTGTGCTTGCTGAGCCATGCTCAGTTGTTCTAAGGCTTTGAAAGGCACGGTTAATCCTCACACCAATCCTAGGAGGCAACTCCATTACTTTTTCTACTTCACAGAGGAAACAAATGATGCTCACCATCCATTAAACAGGCAGAAGGAAGTGGGAGAGTTTCGATCTGGGATGGAAAACAGTATTCCCTCAGACCTGGAACCTCCCCTTAGTTACCCAGTGGTTTTAAAGTATTCTGCCTTCTCCTAATAAGAAGACCCTGTTCTGGATTTGATCACCTGAAGACTGTCATGATGGAGAGTGATGGGTGGCTCTGGCTGAAGGTGTGCCTAGCCCACAGCTCCACTCCTCCCCATGTAGCCCACAGAAACAATGTGTAAAGTCCCCACCCTGGTAGGCATCAGACCAACCCCTGTGGGCATCAGCCCTGAGCACATGGCAAAGTAGCCTTAAATCAGGCTCCTGTGTCCACTGTTGCTCAGCAGTGGATGGCCTTCTCCCACGCTGCTCCGTGGCCTAGTAGCTTAGAAGGAAACACTTCCTGTGGGGCTCTGAAAGTGCTCTGGAAGGCTTTCTCCTCATTTTTAACTCAGGCAGCAACTGGATGGACCTGCTATCCTCTTTTCTGATTCTACATGCCATACACAGCATATGGATCTCCATAACACTCTGCTTGTGCCAAATTTAATGGGAGTGCTTGCATGTCACTCACTCACTGATTCAGCTTTCCCCTAAGCCAATAAACTTTCATTGGAAACTATGGATATAACCATGATTTTTTTTTAAATATCTGAGAATAAACAACTTTTAATAAAAGAAAGATGTAGTTTGGCTTATGGGTTCAGTCCCATGGTCACTTTTCCCCTATTGCTAAGAGCTTGTGTGGAGGCAGAACATCATGGCAATGCAATCACTTCACAGAGGTTGAAAAACAAATGGTGGGGAGATGGATGGATGGAGGCCAGGGATGAAATATATCCTTATGGAGCACACACACACACACACACACACACACACACACACACACACACACACAGTTTTTCTCTTCTTAGCCCCGCTGCCTTGTTTTTACTAGCTCTTAATGCCATGCAATTACAAAACCATCAATGTATTGGTTTACTTATGAGGTCAGAGCCTTCAGGATCTAATCACCCTAAACCCCATAGCTTGAAAGCAGTCCTTTAGAACAAGCCTTTGAAGGGCTTTTAAGACTCACACTGTAACAATAACGAATGTGTGTGACCCTTACTTCAGATTGCTCACATCCTGGAAGTAAAACGGGCAATAGCCACTCCACCAACAGGTAGTGAAGTTGTCTTGGGGTGTTGAGGGCTTTTACTTCAAGATTGCAGTGAAGACCAGATAATTGGGAGGTGGTCAGGAAAGGCGGTGAGGTGAGACTGACAATAGGCTAACAGGTTCTAGGGTGGCATGGGTGTTCCATGGTATCCTGGAGTACCTAGGAATTTTATAACAGGAAGTGAGGCAGAAAGTATCATCAGGGTACAATGAGAAACACAAAGAACTACTTTTTTTATTAAATTTTTATTTTTATATTAATTACAGTTTATTTACTTTGTATCCCAGCTGTAGCCCCCTTCCTCATTTCCCTCCCACTCCTACCCTCCCTCCCTTATCTCCTCCCATGCCCCTCTCCAAGTCCACTGATAGAGGTCCTCCTCCCCTTCTGTCTGACCGTAGCTTATCAGGTCTCTTTGGGACTGGCTGCAATGTCCTCTTCTGTGGCCTAGCAAGGCTGCTTCTCAGGGGTGGGGAGGTCACAGAGTCAGCCACTGAGTTCATGTCAGAGACCATCAAAGGGCTACTTCTAGTAGGAGAAACAGGCTAGACAATTAGAACAGTGCATACCAGATACCAGAGGTGTGCAAGATGGGGTCTGGAAAGGGAAATGATTGTGGTTTTACAAGTGGCTTTGTGCCCTACCTGGAGTCTCACATCTGCTCCTCTGCTTTTGCTAAGGTGTAGGACAGAGCCTGTGTGAGAAGCTACTATGCGCCTGTGACCAGATGGCAGCTGAGTGTATGGCCTCTGCCTTTTTTAACCAAAGCCTCAAGTCACCAGACTGCCCCGAGTGCCAGGGTCAGCCCATATCCTGTGAGGATGACATGCTCGGGGGAAATGTGGCCTCTTCTGTGGACTCCAGTTCGGAAGAGGAGAGCGAGGAGGCCACACCCTGGATGGAACGTCCAAGAAGCAGGCTTCTTGAGAAGCCCCCTGGTCCCTTTAGGACCAGGCCCCTTGGTGGAAGATAAGATGCTGCATGCTAGCAGTTCTGAGCTGCATGAGCTGTTTGACCCTCAGTCCTGTCCATAGGAGCCTTAGCAGAAGCTTAAAGGTAGCAGGGACAACCAGCTCCTAACCCATAAGCCTCCTGAAACTTGTCTGCAGACAATGTCTGGAGAATGAATGCAGACAACACTTTTCTTTTTTTCTGTACTTCATTATGGAAGCTCAATAAATTCTCTATGCCATATGGCTTGTATCGTGTCTAAGGGCCGTTTGTATTGATATATGGGTGCATGAGTAGCTCCCAAAGGTGAGACGTCAGAAACAATAAGGGAAAGGATTCAATTTCCTGACCTCTAAAAGTTGTTCTTTTCCTTTGTTAGAAAGTAAGTGTATGGCTACCCATGGTTGTCAATGGTTCACTAATGATGACAACAGTGCTTCTGTATGGGTCAGATACACTTGCTACCCTTGTTAGGAGAGCTGTTAAAAGGTACAGCTATCGCCATGATGAACCAGCCATCACGATCGTTGGCCTTAGGCCTTTTCTAAAAAAATAAAGATTACTAAGGCCCTTGCCTGATTTCACATCCTCTAATCTCCACTTTATACTTCTGAGGACTACTTCACTTCTACAGGGCAAACTTGCCTCATGGAAGTGGAGCCCACACACCTGCTTCCTACAATTTCTGACTTCTGATAATAAGCGGACTTGGGCAAAAATCAGCACTCACGAGCATGGTATACAGGTGTTGGGAAATGCTCAGAGGGACACCCTTGTTCAGGAACAAACATCAAAGGGGAAATGCTTTCCCTTTCATGTCTCTTAAGGAGGGAGCTCTGATACTGACTCTCTAGAATATCCAGGAGAGCTCTCTCCAGGCACCAGTAATAGATGATTTAAAAAAGGGACTCATCTTTGTCCTTCCATTTCACCATCCATACCCTTGCTGAGGTTCTCCAGGATCACTTCTCAAAGTAACACCTGCACATAAGCCTTAACACAGGCTGTCATATGGAACCCTGGACATGACAATGCCTCTGGCTCAAGTATAAGCTAATGGCTGAACACAGCCCAACCAAGATAGCTTATCTTTACACCCTGGCTTTGCTTTTCACCAATTTATATTAGATGACAGAAGAATCAGTCATGGTGGAAAGCCTGGGGCAGCATTCAGTTTATCCTTGGGAACAGGGTCAGAACTGTGGATGACCGTCCTAACAGCTGAGAGAGTGGCAGTCTAGTGCTGTATTAAGAAGGCAGTGCTTAGGTTTCCCAAGGCAGATCCTGTGACAAGGTTTATATGAATGTAGTACTTTTGGAAGTGGTTTCAGAGAACACTGGACCCCAAGGAAGATTGTTGTTAATACTTAACAGAGGCTTATCCCATAATTCAGGCATGACACAGTAATTTGGTTACTCTCAGCTAGGCTGGGAGGGTAGATCATACTGTTCTCATTTCACAGGTGATCAATCACTTATCTGTGACTCACTAGCTTGGGTTGGATTTGAACCAGAACCCACGCTCCTCTGTCATAGTGGCTAATTCAAGAGGCTCATGCACTATGGCTGACAAGGTAGCTCTGCAGGGCAGACTAAGCTCAGGGTGGCATAAGGTATGAGAGAACAGCTGCTTTTCTTGAGAGGCTTTGTGCAATTTATAGAGCAACGAGGCGTAGTGGGAAGAAGTCACCGAGGCTAAAAAGGAGATGGTGACTATGTGAGGGACCCAGTAAACTTAATCTAAGCTCTCTTCAGGCTAAGTTACGGTTCTGATGATTCTCATATACGTGGAAAAGAATCCTCCCAATAACAACTTTCATTAAGTCAAATGTTGAAGAAGCTTAATTCCACATATGGAATGCTAAAATAAAACGCACTTACACACAAGATGCGATTTTTGTTTTATTGCTTACATATGATTGCACAATGAAATTTTACATTTATAAAACTTACTTCATTACAGCAATACATGTATACTCATTAGTGAGACAAATGAGTTCCCTTTGTGGGAGCGGGGCAGTTAAACTGCTGGTTAAAGGTGGTATTACTCTAAAGGTAATGGGTTCTAAAGGAGGCTGGAGGGAAGGGAGAGGAAGAGGAGGAAAGAGAGAAAGAATGAATATGAAAGTTCAGGTAAAGTTCAGTGAAACTATGTAAGCAGCCACAGACACACAATGATCACAAGCATAGGAGGAACATTTAAATTAACTGTTCAGTGTCACACATATAACTATTGAAAACAGCAAGGACAATGATAAACAATTTGAGTATTACGTACCTGCCAAAACAGACCAATGCAACGAACCTCATCAAGTCCTGAAGATTCAGTACCTGAACTAGCTACAGCACAGCCTGCTCACCTGCTCAAATGCAATCCCTGCAAATGTGGACAGACAGACAGATATACACTGCCTGGGAATCCTTGTTAACAAGACCAGTTCAGTTTATTGGACCTAAGACATCCAGAGGGTACTGTAGTTTAAGAGTAACAAAACTCAAACCAACAGTTTATGAATACCAAGATAAAGGTGTGATAAAAAGACTGACTGCAAGGGTTCTTTGCATGCAAAGCATGCCTTTTCAAATAACTAAGAAACAAAAAATTTTGTACAGCAAAGCTTGTGTTCTTCATGAATGCAAGTGAATATATATATCTTTTCTTATACTATTAAATTATACACTTTTCCATACAAAAGCACACAGTGTTAATTTATAAAATGGCATCCAAGTGGGTGATGATTGTTTTTTTGCATGTCCCCCTGTTTATATTTTAAAGGCAATCAAGAATTGCCTTTAAAAGAATTTCTTCTTTTAAAATGAAGAAAAAAGGGAACAAAAATGCCTAAAGTTTAACATTACCAGTGACACATATTCCCTGGTGGGAGGGGAAGCTACAGTGACAGCTGGAGCAGGGCACTGGTCTTCCAGTGGCAGCTGCACTGTCCCTCTAAGGATAAGGTCAGGTGGATCTACACTTAATTGGCAGCCCAGGCTGTCCTGGCAGAGGCTTTAGGAAATGGACCCCTCTTCAAGATGTTTTACTCTGTTGTAAATATTAAAGATTTGGGCATGCCTGTTCTATGCCCATTTCCATTTTCCTACCTGCCTTTTTGTATTAATGTTGCCCCCGAAACCAAAACCACACAGGTAACCAAAACTACACCCTAGTCTTCATTTCATATGTTTTAAACAAAAACAGAACTAAAGCTGAATTATTTGGGGGCTATAATTTTTGATAAGAATACTGTTTTTATGTAAAAAAAAAAAAAACAAAAACTGAATTTGAAAAGCTAGAGTTATAAGTGATTCCACAAAACTGTGCTGTCAGAATTTTCTAATTGCAGAATGCTTATATTCAACATGTGGCGGTGTCCCTAGCATGTGCAGGATATGCTGACCTTGCAGTCTCACAAGCTGGAATAAAGGTAGCTCACACTCACATACCTTAGCTAGATCATACGCAGCGTTTTGAAGTATATAACTAATTTTCAATAGAGATGCACACAAGTTTTGGTTCAAACCTTACAAATTATAAGGTTCACTGGGGAAATTTTTTACTATTAAGACTTAAAATAATGTACAATATAAAAGGTAAATTCATTTTAAAAATCTGAAATGTATAGACTCTACACAGGTGAACAGGTAGCTGTTTTAAATGTCTTTTCTATAGTAAATATATATTTCATTTAATTAATGGAGTCACAGCAAAATACAACTATAGTTTCAAAGCACAGTCTATAAACTAACACATTATATGTGAAAAAAATTGCATTTTTCGTACTCCAAGCGTGAGCTCTAAAGGGCTCAAGGGCTCAACTTGAAGCACAAAACACAGTATCATAGACCCAATAAGGCCTGGCCAGTTTCCAGAGAGGAGCCTAGATGGAAACACTATTCAGTGTTCGCTGACACCCTAGGAATGCCCGCCACACGTCACCATGGAGGACTGAAGGGATGTCTACACAGATCATCTGAAGCGTGAGAGAATTACAATCCTAGAATCAAGAATTTATTTACTTTTGATGAAAACAAAAGCAATTCATTTCTAAGCAGTTGTGTAAACACTTAAGAAATACAGCAGACATTTCATACATTTTCAACTTTTTTTTAAAAAAATCATGTCTGTGTAAAGTTTAAAATATACTATTTAGTGGCATAATGTTAAAGCAATACATGTTCAATCTTAAAAGCTAATAGGAACCTCAAAACAAATAATGTGGCATAAGCCGATCTTCAGAAGTACTCTAAATCAGAGTCTCTAAACCTGTAATACAGCGTGACAAATATTGGTTAGATATAGAGCCCATCACATTTCAGGACATGTCAGTAAGCATTATGCAAATCCTAAAAACTTGTCTTGGCCTTGCTTTCAGACTTTAAAATCCTTTTAAATGTTGTAGTCTTCATGAACCAGTCAATATACACACAGATCTGGAAACTTCATCTCGTAGACTGGGATGGACTGATATTGGGCATGCCCAGAAGTAATGGTCAATGTTCCGGATGGACTGGGAGGAGGTCTGTAAAAGGAAAAACATGGTGCTATCAGCATGTGCATTTACAATATTCAACCATTGCCTGCAAACAGCAAACAGTTCCTTAATTGAAGGGCTCAACACAGTAGAGGTGCAGGCCAGCTATAAACCTATACAGGCAAAAGATAAGGATGCTGGCTGCTTTAAGTCCAAAACAAGCCTTGTTCTATGTTTGTACGTATATTTCACTGTGCATTTTTATGAGCTACATTGTTTCACAAGTATAAAAATATCCTCATGCATATCTGTCTTATGGCAGTGTGGCATTTTGTTATGTAAAGGTATTTTATCTACTAGACAAATAACATATACATACACACATACATGGTCTAGAGACTTATAAGCAAGTAAGAGTTTCTAATTCTAAGTAGATTCACAATTTTATTCTTGGTATGTATTGTGACAATACTGGAAATTTATAGTGATTCAAGGACTGGAGGCAATCCTTGCTAATCTGGAAGGCAAGAAGAAATCTATTCCTATTATTATTTTTTACTTTTGAGACACTATTAGTGATAAACATCTCTGTGCTATCCATTTTGGTTTCTTTAAAAAATAAACTCATGAATTCACTGTTTTCCTTCACAGACATACCAATTTAGGAAATTAACCTTCTGTCATATAGTAGAAATGCTTTTTACTAGAACATCATTTAATTCTCAACTCTTAGTTAATGAAGATGAGTATGTACATACACATACACTTATACACATATACATGTATGTGTGTGCACACACAGACACATGACACACACATACCTCTGAATTCATCCTGCTGTCTGTTATTCTACAAACAAAAGGTTGCCTTTCTCTTTGCAGGAGTAGTGAAAGAATGTCCCTCCTGTTCTCACTGATATATCATTTTTGGCCTACAGAAGAGTAACTCAACAACTGTTTTCCTTAAGAATCCAAAATCTTATCTTTGTCATAAATACTTTTATATCTCAATTTTTATGCATTCTACACAAATCCAACCTACTAAAAATGCCAACCTGACCAGGCTTTATAGTGCATGTTTGAGCAACAGCAGCAAGACCCTCTACAGGAAGATACTGTCTCAAAAGAGTCAAATAAACAAACAAACATAAAACAAAACAAGTTTTTCTTGGAGTAGGCAGAGTCTTTGATTGTTCCTTCTCCTACTGCATTTTTCTACCTCCTCTTACACAAGGACTCTTCCAGATAGCCCTCAGCATTTTCTTTAAACACAAATTAATAACTATATTTTATGAACATTTTGACTATAACAATGGGCTAATCTGTAAAGAACTGATGTCTTTATGATATTAGTTTACTATTTAAGAACAAGGTATGAAGACAGGCAAAATGGCTCAGTGGAAAAAGGTAGTTGTTTCCAAACCTGATAACCTGAGTTCAAGCCTGGGAGTCCCCATGGTAGGAGAGAACCAACCCTTGGAAGTTATCCACTGAGGTCCCACCCTATGCTATACATACACAAATATAAATAATTGTTTAAAAAAAAAAGGACAAGGTATGAGTTTTCTGTATATAAATATCAAGTATAACTCAGACTTAGTTATTTTGTAATCTCTGCTAATTAGTATCCTATGGTTATCAAGGTTTTCACTAATAATCTGCACAAGGATTAGCTTCATATAATTACCTTTAATTCTGAACTGCCTCAACTACATTTTGCAACTGTTTTTCTTATTTTTGTAATATACAGTCCTATCAAGTAACTTTTCAAGTGTTCCAAAATATTTATAAAACCTTTTAATGTTTTATTAATGAATCATTTTCAGAGTGAAATGCACTGATCTTAAATTGACATATGTATACACATAGCTAAACCACAGCATGATAAAGACAAATATTTTCATTATTCAAAAGGTAATTTTCATAATTCAAAAGTAACAGGACAATTCAGAGAGCCAGAAATGAGGACAGCCACTGGTGATGTGAGCATGAGTGCATTCCATGAGGAGGTGGCTGGCAGCCACCTCAGGAGGCTTCTTTTGGGCTCTCTCGGTGGCCATTAAAGCTAGGGACACTACCTAAATCTTCTACATCACTTTTGCATTTTCTTCATTACAATGCTTTAATACTTGAACAAGAATGTTAAAGTTTATCACTAAAAGTGTAAAGTGAGATTCCATTAAACAGAGGCAAAAACAAGAGTGAGGGCAAGTAAGTCTCTGCTGGAGAAAGTACTCTCCTGTAATCTCTAATGTCCTGTGTATAGGGTCCAGCAGCAAGCTGCTGTTATTCATTTTGCAGTTGCTTTGCATTCCTCCTTTAACTCTGTACCCAATCCATGGTGAATAAAACAAAACAAAACACCTGTGGTATAACATGGTTCGGCTTCACTTTTGCAGAGCACAAACTCTCTTCTCTAGCTGATCAAATAAACAGGAGAAAATGTGCAGATGGGTCTGAAAACCTATGGTGCACCACACCATACCTTCAGCTTCTCTGTATTACACAGGCTTTCCCAGAACTTCTAAAAAGGCAGCTGTGGACGGACTACTACTGAAATAGCAGTACCCAGCACAGTGTCTGGGACAACCTATTTGCTGCTAAATATTAAGTACCACCAAGCGGATCAGCCAAAGCCTCAAATGTGATCACAGTAGAAAACTAGAATGCTGTTCTTAAAATTGTAAATCTACACAAATAACATGGCGCTCCCTAGTCCACTTGGGAACACAGGTAGGACCAGCAAGTTATATTACTTTTCTAGTTCTATTATCTATACCTGTAAACTCAAAAAGAATATTTACTTCCTCTTCAGAACTAATTGACATAAAGGATGCAACCTAAGGCCAAGCATACAGTAGGTATCTGGAATTTTAACTAACAGACAGTTTTAAATTTGGCAATTTTCCCTGAAAAGAAACTCTATAGCACCCTTGATATTTTAGTCCATTTCTCTTCTGAACTTTTGTAAATGAGCAATTTTTCTCCTTAGCAACAGTAAAATGGTGGGAAATACGCGATGCTGATAAAAATGTGTTTTACATGTGAGAGTAGAAAACAAAGTAGAATAAAAACAAGTCAAGTAGACCTGAATGTTTTACCAGTCTCTCCTAGGCATTAGATATAAATTTAAGAAAAAAAAAGGGGGAGGGGGACTTATTTTGTCAAGTCAAAAAATACAATATTTAGCTGATGTAGAAAACAAAATTCCAGAAACAAGGCTGTGTGTGTCCCCTACCAGGTTATCTTACCCTGGGCCAATTTCCACCCTGAAGTGAGACTTTGTGGCTGCACCTCCTCTGCAGGAGCCTAGAGAGCCTTCCCTTTTTCTCAGGCAGAAGGACTTATGAAGAGGCAGACCATGACCAACAGTGGGGATACACTGTATATTTTGGAATATACTTCTTATCATAACTTGAAAGGGCACAGGAAAGCTCAAGGGAAGCCAGTAACTGAAATGACCCATCCATACTGGTATCAGGGTCACTGCTCTCGATGGAAGTAAATAAACTAGAGACGGAGTGGGTAAAAATGGCTAAATACAAATGATATCCTTGTTAAACACAACATTAGGACGTGGGTCTTCCAAATCACTCAGATGTTCTTAGAAGGCCATCTAAAAGAGAAAGCTAGAAATGCCAGGAAATAACCGGACAAGAAATTGCTCAGACTCCCCCTGTAAACAGAGTGAGAACTGAGACAAATATTGCCAGTTGGATCGTATTTATGCTCAGTGCAAAGCAGTTATTAAACAAGCATAGGCATACACAGCTTCTACTGGTTCCTGAGTTACCACTGCAGTGCTAACAAAACCCTTACCGTATGGTGAGCTCCAATATTTGAGCAAGTCTATCATGAAGCAAATTTGCCTGCAAAGGAGGAAAAGATGTTAAAGATTTATTGCTTTCCTGATATCTAGTAGACAAAGCATGACTGTAAGTATGAGGCTGACATATAGATTGTTTTAATGCTCCAATCTGCAGTATTTATTGGAATTTAATGTTGGTCTTCTCCCTATCCCCACGCCTTTCAAGTTCTATAGCTACGAGCTGAAACACACAAAATAGCCATAGTAAAATCACTGAAAACCATTGGAAACAAAGAGAACAAAACCCCAAAGCAATGATAGCCATTAACACCCAGCTTAGGCTCTGCCATACCTATCATCATCATCATAGAAGCACATTCTTTAGTTTAACAATTTTGTCTTCAGAGGCTGGAGCCATGATATGCCTAAAGCTTGGATCCTGCCAGCCAGTGATCAGAATGAACTCCAAAGAGCTGCTCCCCCATAGATTCACTCACTTTGGATTCACATTGTGCTGCTATTTCTTCAAAAGGTGCTTTCTGGAACTTCTCTATCACAAGACGTCTCTTTTCCTTTTCCTGTTCTTCCATCCCATTTGTTTCTATAGAAAGACCAGTTAAACAATGTCATAAAATCCTGCCAAAGACCATGGGAGCCAATAAGCTATAATCCCCCAAAGAGTGATTAAAGGGCTACTTTTATAGGGGAAAAAAGCAAAATACATAACATTCCTTAAATGTTTCACTGAATACTAACTAATGCAAATAAAAAAAAAATGTTAAATCCACAAAAGAGTCAAAGCTCCACAGCATAATGCCTACCTTCAGAGAATTCCCACATCTCTTACCAAATATATATACAACAAATGTCCAAATACACACAGATATGGATATGCGCATACACAAATCTACAAAAACAAACCTACAAACACACACATATATAGTGACATATATAAGAGAGAAGAATAACTTACCACAAAACAAAGGGCTACCAGGGCTTTCCTAAATAACTCTTTCATGCAGGATTATGCTGCTCTTAAACATATAAGGTGCTAAGTATTTGTTAAACTGAATCTTGATTCCAATGAACAGAGAACTAAAATACAGCTGGATCATGTAGAGCAAATGTGTCTGAGTCTTATAACATAAAGGGAATTTTATTTTTAAATCTTAAGGCCTTGATGGTCTCAACAAAGTTTGTTAGATAGTAAAGAACAGCTGTCTACTTTGTTTATACCACTGTGTTTGCTTATGTATACATATATATGAGACAATTTTAAAAGCCTAAACAATGTACTTAAATAAATTATCTGATTTATAGAGAGCAACAGTATTTTTTTCCTTTTCTTTCTACTCATGTTGTGTCATTTAAAAAAGCACCAAGGCAGAGATGAGTTTTTGGAGAGCTAACAAGTGCTCCACAGCTCACCAATTGCTTTCTTCAGTGCTTCAAAGGTGATTTCTTCAGTGTTGCTAACCTAAAGAGAGTATAAGAAGAACAAAGAGTCAAGAAACGTCAATCCAACTAAGAGTCTTGCCAATAATTATATTCTTACCAACATGCCAGTCATCTAAGCATTTTTACAATTACTTTCTCCTTCTTTTGATTGGCTTGATCTGAGATTATATTCCAAGCAGCAAATGCTCTATACCTCTTCACTAACTGTAAGAATGGCCTACAGTGCCTTCCTGATCAGACATATAAAAGGTATTAGACTATCAGAGCAAGAAGCAGCTCAGCACCCTTGGATGAGGCCTCCAGTGTTTAAAGGGCCATAAGATACCCAGTGACTGACCTGTTCTTGGTAAGGAAAGACCCTTTGATGTAATCAAGGCTGAGATTACAAATATATTTTAGCTATGTGGTAAAAAAGAATTAAGCATTAAAGAGCCTTTATAATATTAGTACTACAGATAATATACAAATCAAACATAAGATAACCTAAGATTTTAAATGGTTAAGAAAAATGGTCTGTAGAGATGGCTCAGTCAAAGACCATACATAGAGAAGACATAGACCCCCTGCTCAGATGTAGCCCACAGACAACTCAGTCTCCATATGGGTTCCTTAGTAAGAGGAGAAGTGATAGTCTCGATATAAACTAGGTTGCCTGATCCTTGATCATGTCTCCCCGATAGGGCAACTTAGCCAGCCCAGAGAAAAAGAGGATCCAGGCAGTCCTGATGGGGCCTGATAGGCTAGGGTCAGATAGTAGGGGAGAACGACTTCCCCTATCAGTGGGCTAGGAGAAAGATAAGGGAGGAAGAGGGAAAGAGGGTAGGACTGAGAGGATATGAGGGAGGGGGTTACAACTGGGATACAAAGTGAAAATTTGTAAATAATAATAATATAAAAATACCCCCCAAAAGAGCATTTGCTGCTCTTTAAGGCTCTTGCCAAGGATTACAGTTTGCTTCCCAGCACCCACATGGTGTCTCACATCCGTGTTTAACTCCTTTTCCGGTAGATTCAACATCCTCTGCTAGCCTCCTCAGGCACCAGGTATACATGCAGGCAAGACATTCACACACATTTTTTAAAAAAATAATAAAAAATGAAGCTTTCAAGGAATTTCTACATTGAAAAGTATTTACCCTAAAACAAACACATTCAGTTTTTTATTTCCTGTGAATACCCTTTATCTTGGACGCTCAAATATCTCGTTTTGAAATTTTTACAGTTATAAAATTAAATGTTTTATGACTTTTAAACTTTAGTACTTTCGTGGATAAAAATGGGTAGTGGTACTTTATGAGATACCAAAACATTTCACAGTGAGTAATAAATCATCACTAAGTATCTCTAAATAAAAGTTAAGTAATGATACGATACATAAGTACTTGCCTGGCACTTCGGTCATCCCTAATTTTAGCTCATGAGCGTCTTTTGCTAAGTCTAAGGCAGCAATACTAAGGAAAGCAAGACTTCGTGTTCTGCACCTTAGCGTCTCTTAACAAAGGCTTTAGCTGGAAGTCAGGCAGCAAGAGTTCCGCCACCTCAGCTTTGCTACTGAGGGCCACAGTTCTAGTTGAAGTCAGATTAAACTTTGGAATCTTCAGTTGCATTCTAAATATTTGGAGCAGATATACAAGATTAGGCTCTGGCTAATCATCTGTATCTAGAAGCAATCTAGCACTAGCATTTTAATGAAGTAAACAAAACTCACTGTTCTTAGACTGGGCTAAATAGCTTCAGATTTAGAAGAAAAAAAAAAACTATGTATAATACAGGACAAAGAACAGGATAAAGTTAGAAGACCAGTATTCTTGTGATATAAATGTTTACTGATCAATGCTGAAATAAATACTAGTAACTGAGAATAGCTAACTGATGTGATTTTTCCTCTCCTCACTATAAGCTACTTACTTTTGTCTATAAGGCAATTCTGTTATGTCTTTTGGCATTTGAATAACCATTACTAATGTGTAAAAAAAAAAAAAGGTATATTCCAATGAGTTTGAAACTCAAATGTGCTAAAGTAAATGTGACACAAAATTGTACTTAAGTGACATCCAGTGTGTAATGTATGTGACTGAGGACTTACAGCACACTGTCTTTGAAAAGTTCATATATTAATGAATTTTTAATGTAAGATCTCCCCTCTATAATATCTTCATGTAAATATTTTCAGTTCATTCTATTAAAACAGATTGATTCTTTACAATAGTCCCAAGCCAAACATATATTTTAAAATAAAAAGTAAAAGCAAAAGGAGAAATAAAAACATAAGCATGAAAATATGTCATGTTCCTGATTAAAATCAAGCCTAGAAGCCAAGGCTCTGAGCAGATTTCTTCACTGAAAAGATAACAAGAGTAAACTCAAACTCATTTAATAAGCTGGCACAATACCTCTTTACTAACAGAAGTGCATATACAAAAGTAGCTTTGAAGAAAGAGGTGGATTTGTGCAGGATGGTTTAGCTTCTTCAAGTATTCTGTGTGCATATACACGTATATGTGCATATGTGTGGAAAGTGCAAGCATGTTGAAGTGAAAAGTTCATGTTGGGATGTCTTCTTCAGTTGATTCTCCACCTTCCTTTAGTGTGAGGAGCAAAGGAAGCCTTGAGTGAATATGTAAGGAAAGGATGAAGTTTTGAGTGAATGTGTACTACCAATAATGACCAATGCCTCAGACCTCTGGAAATCAGCCTTTTTTTAGGTCAGGCTCAGGAAACTGGCTGTGTGCAAAAACAGGCAATTGCAGCTTCCTCCTCCCAGATGACCACAACCTGAGATTGCTCCCCTACAGAGCCCTCCCACTGAGACTAGATAATAGGCTGAAGTTCTGGGTTGTTGCAATTAATACTGCTCAGTGAGTACACAGCCTACCCAACTCCAGCTTTGCTGAACTCATCTATCCTTACTTCATTCCCTCACTGCCCCAATCATGTTTCCCTCACAACAACACTATTCCTTTTTTTATGCATCTTTATATGTACACATGTGTTTGCAGAGTGTTACATGTGTGTAGAGGTCTCTTGTGTGCTGGTGTGGAAGTCTAAAAGTTGATGTCAAATATCTTCCTTGATCACTCTCCAGGTTATATACTGCAATAGGGTTTCTTGGCAAATCCTGATTTCACCAATTCCATTGAGCTAGCTTGCCCTAGTGATCCTGTCTCTACCTTCTGAATGCTGAAATTAAGATGGATGCCATTTATGTTGGCTTTTCTGAAGTACCAGTGACCCCAACTCTGGTCTTCATGGCTATCTGCCACCTCCTTTGCTCCATTTTGTTTTTTGAGACAATGTCTCCTCACTGAACTTGAGGCTTGACATTTGGGTTATACAGGCTGGACAATGAGTCTCCAGTATCTGCCTGTCTCCACATCTCAGCATCTGGCTTATGTGGGTGCTGGAGATTCAGAAGATAGGTCCTCATACTTGCATAAGCATTTACCCACTAAACTTTCTCCTGAGCCCACTTCAATGCTATTGAGCTCCACTAAGAAGTGATTGCTAAGACAAAATAATTCTGTACAATGGAAAACTAAATAGCCAAAAAGATCTAAAGATGTTTGTTTCCTGACCACTAAGTAATTACAAATGAACTGTTAGGGGTTGAAAGCTAAGGGAATGAAAAAGCATGAATTCAGACAACTCAGGTACCTTGTTACTTATTTGGATAATCCTTTATTATACTGTATCAGTGAGAAATAATAAATAGCTAGGAAGGAAAACAATGTATAAGTCATGAAGAGGAACTTGAGTTGAGAGTCTACCATTGTGTCATTTTTTTAGTTGGCTATCAAAAAGTCTTGTGTAAAATAAGTCCTGTGAGTGCTGACTGGTTTTTCTTTCTATAACTGAGAGAACACTCTCTTGTGCTCTATGAAACAGTAGGAAACCATCCAGATGGCACTGTAAGCAGCCAGTACTTTTGAGGAGCAGTTCACTGAGATGGCTTAAGTCACATTAATAGCTAGTATCCAAAATAACAAATACTTTTTTCTTATAAGTGAACTTCTGAGGTAAGAATGTGGCCTTGTCGGGGGTGCACAGTTCCATCTGCTTTTTGCATTTTATACTTGATAAATTAAACAAAATTAAAAAACAGGACTTAGAGAACTTAAGAGGTCATGCATAACATGTATTTAAAGTGAAACAAAACAAAATAACTTGGCTTCTGTTTTATAGATCCTTTTGCCATATGGAACTCCAAAGCAAAAGTCTAATAAAATATATTAACTTTATGCATCTTGATGGACAGTTGGAATGAGTTCCTAAGAATTAAATTATACTATGTTTTACTAACAACTTAGTTGACTTGGGGATAATTTAGATTTGTAGTGTGAAGGCAAAATTTTCTTTTAAATAATAGCTACCTTATGACAGTTCTCCACCATAAACTTCCAATGACTTACCACATCATCAGAAGGCACACTGCTGGATAAAATGTCCACCTGAATAGATACGGTATCCACAATACTTTTTCTTCTAGAAAGACGATCTTCATCTGAAATGAAAATTGTTTTTTCCTGTTATTTCTTAGAAATGTTGAGCGTTACTCAAATAACTATTTTAAATTGCAAGAAAATGTAGAAGTAAGTTTGGGGGGTTGTTCTTTACAAATATTTAAGCAGTGTGTTCTCAGCTTTCAATATATTTTATTTAACTTGTAAAGTAATTGCTTTTAATCATTCCTAGGGTGCAATACAATGTTGGACGTGCATACAATGTAGAATGATCAAAGGCTGGTCAGCACCTCCACTCTCAACCACAGCCATTCTTTGTAAAAAGAACATTTAAAATATACCAATTGATCTTACAATTGTTTTGTATTTATTTTGTGTCTGTGTATGTGCATTCACATACAAAAACACTTATACCTTGGTGCACAAATGGAGGTCACAGCATAACTATAAGGAGCATAACCAGTTTAGTCCTTCTACCACGTAGGTTTGGGGAATTAAACTCAGGTCATTAAGCTTGGCAGCAAGGACAATTATCTGCTGAACCTCTTGCCAGCCTTAACTTCTCTTTTAGAGAACTTGAAATATATACGATAACTAGCAATGGTCACCATGTTGTGAAATAAAACATCAGAACTTAATTCTTCCTGTGTTACTGGAGGTAGTCATATGGTATCTGTCGCCCCTTGCCCATGTCCTCTAGATTCACCCATGTTGATACAGATGTGAAAACTGCCTATTTTTCAGAATACTGCTGCCCTGTATATAAAGATCACAGTCAACTCTTTCTGTATATTGGTTGTTGTGAGTAAGAAGTGCTGAGATCAGCACGCAGACATCTCAAACACTGATTTCAATTCCTCAGGGTGTGCTCACAAGTGGGATTGCTGGGCCATATGGTAGATGTTTTTAGTTTTATGAAAAGAAAAAGAAAACTAAGTTGAATTTTCCAAAGTGGCTATAATAATTTATCATGTCACTAATTATGAGAGCTTACACCAATGTGTAAGGCTCCTTTCTGGGCACTCTTGACACTTGTCATCTTTCACTTTTATGATAACAGCAAACCTAAGAGGTAAAAAAATAGCATCTTGATCTGATTTTCTTTCTTATGATTATAGAAATACGGTTGAAAGTTGTTCATGTAACTATGAGCTTTCTGTATGTTTTCCCCAAGCATTGTAATAGGAAAGACCAGGATGCAAGAATAGCTACTAGCCATGATTCTCTAACAAAAAAAAAAAAAAAAAAAAAAAAAAAAGGGAAGGTGCATCATGCATCCCAATGCTTATTCAACCTCTGCTGGAATGGATCAGGACAGTGTCAGGCTCTCTAATGCACATGCTCATTTTCAGGAAACCATTCTAAAATATGCTTGCTATTCTGTAAGCATCGGTCCTGAAGGATATAGTTCCATCTCTCTGACTTTCAGAACCACCCAAGTACTTTCCAATGCCTTCTCTCACCCAGAACTATAAAGCATAGGTCACAATGTTTCCTCTGTGGTGAGAATGACTATTCCAAGTGGTAATAAAGAGCCTAATTGGGTCCTTTCCTACTCTTACTGCTATGAAGGATCTATTTGGCAAATAACACTGTGGCTGTAGTAGGCACTTGGGAGACTGACCAGGACTTTAACACCATTGCTTCTCTACTGAATGCCAGTTTAACATCTCCAACTTCTAATTCATCAATTCTGTTTGGAAAGTCCAATTCTGTGTCTAACAAGCCATCTTTAACTCTATATTGTTCTTTCAAGTGTGCTGTCATTAAAGAAATCTACATATTTCTTACCTAGACTCTAAGGATAACCTTATAAAAACAAAAGTCTTCTTCTGTTTTCCTTCTGCTATTGAAACCATTTCTGAAATGAATGACTTTTATCCTAACTATGACATAGAAGCTGTACAGCCTACTGACTAATGCACAACTCCTTAAGAGTTCTGTGTCACTGCATATATATAAATTATGATGTATATGTAAGAGGAAGAGACATGGAAGAGGCTGCTTACAATAGGTTCTGTGTGCCAAATTACCTAATAAGAGCAATATCCAGATACACTTTTATAACCGGTACCACTAGAGAAGCCTTTGTTTAGAATACCAGTAAGCACAGGTTACTTTAGCATTTAGCAACATTCCTTTTGGAATCCATTCAATATGCACTGTGATTTCATTCCACTTCCTCATCATCCCCGTTAAGAAATTCTATAATTAGCCCACTGGTTGTCATATTAGAACCAAATTCTACAATGAATCAAACTTCTGTCCTATACAGTAGACAACGTCATTCCACCACCTGTTTTGCATTTCAGGAGAAACGACACTTAAGAAGGAAAAACTGAAACCAGGCTTTATGAAAATCAGCACTTCTATCTATCTTGCTTGCTTTGGCTTCAGTTTGCATAGAGCTGGAACACTAGGGTTACTCACTAATTACTTTATGGGACAGTTACCTCTAACTATTTCAGGTAGAGCACAGACTAGTCATCGTACAGTGGTATTTAGTGCATACTGATGTATTCATTATTCATTCAAATTCTAGCTTGACTGAAAAAAAATGCAAGAGTCAGCTGATACTTGCTCAGACCAGTAGTTTAGCAATATCAGGCAGAACATTGGTCTTTCTCTAGAACTAGTTATTCATCTGGTTTCCCCATGAGGCTCTCATCCTTCAAGATAGTAACCACACTTTAACATCTTTCCATTACCACTCCCTCAATGCCTGATGTATAATAAGCCTAATCAGTTAGAAAGCATTCCATACTAATAATCCTCCTACTGCACACAGCCTTCTGGGTGCTGGGATTAGCATATGCCATCATGCCTGCTATATCTTAGTATTTTCATTTTCCCAAGAAATGGAGAAACAAAAATGTAACCTGGATCATGCTGCAGTCAAATGCTCTACCATTTGTCAGCTCTACCTGAGTCAGGTCTTAGAGTGGGCTGGACTCATGGTCATGAGACTCAAGCAAAAGATGGTGACTATTGTTCAGTGCTGTCATGAATCATTTTGAATGCATGCAAAAACTTTGATCTCATTAAAAAGTTAGTGAAATCAAATTATTAAGCACTTCAAAGACCACAAGGACAGTTAAATTTAGTATGCTATCTAATCAAATTACTTATTATCAACCTTTCTATCCTCATGTACAAAGACATATACTATTTTCTTTACTAAGCTACTATAAGGTTTAAGTAGGAGTATGAACACTGTGCTGCTCTCAATGCTACGCACAAAATATGAGAAATGGAGCTAATATTACAGTGGTGGTAGGCTGGGCATGCTATCTAACACACTAAATATATTTTACTTTACTTTTGCTTTTTTGTTCTTATCTGCTTGTAATTTTTAAAATCAGTAGTAAAGGCTGCTACACAGAACAAAATAATAACTGAGTAAAACTGAATAGCCCATAAAATATTACTCTTAGGACTCCTGAGTGATACAAGGTCCACAAACTAGACTAATTTAAAAACATCAGTCTTTACAAATGGAAAAAGTCTATTCATGTTTAAGGATTTCTATCCAGCCATAGAACTAATCATACCCAAATATATTCAGAATCCTCCTAAGCCATGATAAGGAAGCGGCATGAAAGAGAAAACAGGTTGTTCTGAGGGAGAAGCAACTAAAAGAAGCAAGGTCACAAGTGAATATAAGTAGCAGGATTTTTACTATAAACTCTAGTTAAACACTTAAGGTAAAAGGAAAAGGAAAGAGGATAAAGTATGTTTTGGGATAAGAACAGAGTACAATTATAGCTAAAACGGCTCCACTTTCTAAACAGGCATCCAGGGAATGCTTTTTCTACAGAACAGGGCGGGCTATGCCAGGTGGATTAGTTACCTTTGTATTTCTGCCTGGGTTTATGAGGCTTTGGGCCTGAAGGAAAGACAGCTAAATCCAAAGTAAAATATTTTATATTTTAAATGATTTAAAAAAGGAAAAACTTTAATCACATAGTTCTAATACAGTTTTTTGTTTGTTTCATTTTTTAAAAGACTAAGTTCTTACTATGTAGCCTAGGATGGCCATAACCTGCTTTGTAGCCCATGTTAGTTTCAGACTAGTGAAAATTATATGATTGCACTACTTTTGTTAATTCATAAATAAAGCTGTATGACTAGAGTCAAAAGTTTTTTAGATTAGAGCTATCTTAAAGTTATTCTTTCCACCAACATTAACACTCATTCATACATTAACTCTCAGAGTACAAGAAACTTTTAATTTTTTGAACAAAAAAATTAATGCAAGATATAATTTTTTCTTCAAATACAATGGCATTATTTTCAAAATCAGAAAAAGTGGACATAAAGTTGGCAGTGTTTTTTTTTTTCCTTCAGAATGGTCTGTGGTCTTTCAAATGACAAATGTGAAACAGTATTGTTAATAAAAAATTCATTTTGTTTCTTTAAGAAATATTAAAGTATAAAACAATGAACAAACAATGAATTAAAAATAACTGCACTACCAACCACTTGATTTCCCTATAAGATCTTATCTACATCTTTAGAGATTAACAAAAATTTTCTAAAACAGTACTTAAAAATAGAAAACATTTAAAAATAGCTTTTAAAAAACAAACAAACAAAATTAAAAACATATGCCAAAAAAATGAGGGGCTGGAGAGATAGCTCAGTGGTTAAAAGCACTGACTGCTCCTGCAGACAACATAAGCTCAGTTCCCTGCACCCACATGGTAGCTTACACCCACATGTAACTCCAGTTCCAGAGGTCCCAGAGGTTCCCTCTTCTAGCGACCATCAACACTATACAAACTAGGTGTACAGACACACATGCAGGCAGCACTTGTACACATAAAATACAAAATAACCTTTAAAAATGAAACCATGGGACAGTACTACACCTATAAAATTAACATCCATTCTTCATTGTATGGCAGGAGGTTTCCTGAACATACCTGTCACCTGTGGCACATAAGGAACTGACAGCCTCTCCACACTGTATCCGCTTCCACCCAGGGACTCTGCAATCTTGTTAGTCAGAAAATATAAAGTTTTGTCATGCTTCTCTAAAGATTTTGGAAGCCTGTCAAGTTAATCAAAACAACAAGCATTCAATATTAATTTCTGAACAAAAGTAAGTAAAACAGCAAGGACTTCTACTGTGAAAGTCTCAAGACTTAGACAGAACTACAAATTACCAGGGATTAGAGAAAATCCCATATGTTTTAGGACTCTTCTCCCATTCATACACCACTACTAAACTCAGCCTTGTCACTCTGCTAATGTCCATACTGACCATTAAAAGACAAACAACACTAAACTTAGGTTAGTAAAATGTAATGAGAAGGAAAGAATGAAAATTCAGCTAAGTGTGAGCATAAAGCTCAGAGTCAGGGGTGACAGAAAGCCATGTCTACTTAAAGAGGCTCCCTGCTCTCTTCCCATTATAGTTATTGGTGCTTTCAATACTGAGATGCCTACACTAAGAGCCCAAAATGTGCAAAGTGTTATGCATTTCCCCCCTGTGGACACAGGAAGGAGGTATAACATGAATTTGCTTTTGTTTCTGTCCCACAATTTTGTTATGTTATTGAAAATCTTCAACAAGAATATTGTACTCTTACAGGAGTATTCATTTACATGAGAACACACACCAAAACAATGCCATAATTAGGAAATATATTACATTTTACAAAGTGGGATAAACTTTGTAATTTCAGGACTATACGCATATCTTCATCTATAGAGTAAAAGTACTTTAAATGTAAGGGAAAAGATTATATGAATTAAATTACAGAAATAAGACAATTATGATAATAAACCTAGAACAATAGTTACTCCTTTGTAATTATTATAAACTGGGTGTTTGTAGCCAGCCTTTCCTTCAAATATAAAGAATTCACATACATGCACTTATCTCTGAAAATATGCTCTGGTAGAAAATAAGGGGCTTCCATAGTCCGAGTTTCAATAACCTGAAAACAAACAAACAAATACAAAACAAAACTGAAATTGAAAATCTCACATCTTAGGACTTTGCAGTGAACATTTACAAAATAACTAAAAACAAAATTAAAAAGTACTTTTAAGCACTACGAGTCTACTTTTCACATAATACTAAAGATTCAGCAGCTATCAAAAGTTTGATAATAAAATATATGAAATAAAGAACAATGTATAACAGTTATAAAACATACTATGAAGAAATGGAGCACATATTTTCTCAAAACAACAGAACAACACAGATCTATTTTAGAAATCCCTTCACAAGCTCCTGCCCTTCTGCATGCTCAGTAGCTGTTCACAGCTGAGTGCCCTGAGAAGAGCGGCTCCCTCAAGGAGCCAATCCACTTTAACAATACACACGCCTCAAATATGCAAATGAGTTTTAAATGAATGAAGGAGTTTTGCTTCTTAAAATGTACCAAAAACATAAATTTTAGCAAAAAAAAAAGAAAAAAAATGTGCTTCAAGTTCTCATAAAATGGGGTTCTTGGAGAAAAACTTTCAATGGTGGCATGTCTGAAATATATACAAAATCACGTCAGACCACTAAATAGAGTTAAACATTGCTGAAAGATGATAAAATTTAAAGAGGCACATTAATCATTCAACTCCAGGTCTACCTCAGACTGTACAAATAAAAACAAAATAACTGAAGAAAACTTAAGTTGACAAGATTCACAATGGCTCAATGGAAGAGAGGAAAATACTCTGTATTATTCAACAACCTTAAAAACTATAACAACCAAAACATGAAAATATTAACTGTACTTTTTATTTAGAACCTCATATTTTTGCAGATTCTATCTATCACCTATCAATCTATCTATCTATTTATCTATATATCTACCTACCTACATAATGATTATTCAGAAATTAGCAGGTTTTATACAATACAAGGTTTAAGAACTTTTCTAAGCCTCTTACCTTGCTAACATGCTGGCAGAATGCTGGAACAGCTATCATCTGACTCACAAAGTTGAGATATGCTGCAACGAGTGCCATGATCCCACAACGATGAAACATTGGCAAGTTATCTTCATTGATAATTGCGCTGTCCTTCAGGACAAAACAAACACATTTGAAAGATCAAGTTTTCACATTCCATCAGTATATTCTCTATGATTATACTGGGAAACTGGAAGCTGTCTAGATAGCCGAGAATAATACATGGTGTGTGTGTTTGTGTGTGTGTGCACGCGCGCATGCACACCTGCATGAATACTGCATGTTGCCTTTTTATTATATAGCACTCAACCCCAACTGAACAGTGCCTCATATGTGATAATTATTTCATGACTAAGTAAGTGATATTTACTTCACTAAAAATAATTTCCCTTTTATAAGTAGAACGTTATAAAAGCATACCTGTAAAGCAATGGCCAATCGAATTAGGTCAATAACCACCTCTTCATTGGCTAGTTCTATAGTTATAAGAGCCAGAGATGTATAAAGGAGCTCATAGTTTTTCTGAACGTTGTCTTCCTCTTTGCAGCCCAGATATATGTGCCTATATAGCTGTTGCCCATTCTGAAAGATACAGAAAAGATAATTTTGTATGTTAACAGTGTAACATACACAAAAGAAATGACTACACAAAGCAAACTGGTGTTCTCTTAGTGAATTTGCATCATTTAAAGTATTAATCAGGAATTCTTGCTATGGGCTGCCGCGAAGAAATGGAAATTGCCCAGCATAATGCAATTGCAAGTGTAGTTACAGCAACATTATTTATGGCATCCCAGTGGTTAACCAACCTAAATGTCAGCCAACAAATACGTAACTTGCATTATCTTATACTACTCATATTGTAATATCACCATTACACTTAAGGTGAATTTCACTGCAACATCACTAAACTGAACAAAAATTAAATATAAAAGAACGTATGATTTATGGCTTTTTTCATTCAACATACAAAAAACTGACAAAACTAAATAATATATAAAGTCTGAACAGTGAGTCCCTCTAAAAGTATGAACTAACGCAAAGAGGGCACAAGGTATGCTTCTGTTATATCGTTGTGCACATTAAAAGTTAAGTAAAATAACAATGCATATGCATTTATAGTTCATAATAAACTATTTTTTTCCTGAATTAACATGAGCAATTTAAAAGGTGAAAAACTATGGGTGGGATTTGGTAGGAAATGGAATGGCCTCAGGAAGAATGGGAGATGAAAAAAAAAATGCTTCCCAGTTTAAGGGCTAAGGCTTCCATGACTAGTCCATGTCTAAGATGCTCTAGGAGCCTGGGCTGGACTCTCCTAGGCTAAGTAGTGCTGTAAGGTGCTCATGCTGAAACACACAACACTGTTGGTAAGCACTGTGCATGCTGACGAGTTTGTTTCTTTTCCACACAGAGATGTAGAACAGAGTTTTGCTTTTTATATTTTTGTAGAAATTTTCTGTAAATTGCCAGTTAAGGTTATCACATGAAAGCCAATCAAAATGAATTGAAAAGTAAATGAAAAAGTGTGACGAATGATCAAAATTTCAAAAAAGAAAAGATATGAACAGATTGTTTCTAAACTAGATACAATTAAGAATGGTTTACAGAGTGCAGGGAATCTTATGAAAGAAGTGGGAAACAGTAAGATTTGGAAAGGACAGGAACTCCACAAGGAGAGAAACAGAAACAAAAAATCTGAGCACAGGGGTCTTTCCTGAGACTGATACTCCAACCAAGGACTATGCATGGAGATAAACTAAGACTCCTACACAGATGTAGCCCATGGCAGTTCAGTATCCAAGTGGGTTCCATTGTAATAGGAACAGAAACTGTCTCTGACATGAACTGATTGGCCTGCTCTTTAATTACCTCCCCGTGAGGGGGGAAGAGCATTATCAGGCCACAGAAGAAGACAATGCAGCCATTCCTGATGAGACCTAATTGACTAGGATCAGAAGGAAGGAAAAGAAGTCTTCCCCTATCAGTGGACTTGGGGAGGGGCATGCATGCAGAGGGTGGAGGAAGGGAGGGAGTGGGATGGGAGGAGGGAGCGAACCACAGGGGGGATACAAAGTGAATAAAGTGTAATTAATAAAGAAAAAAAAACCAAAAAAAACAAAACAAAAGAATGGTTTACAATAAATAAACTCAGTAGGCTGTATTTTCATGTACTCATGTGTATGCATGCAATAATAATAATTAAGCCTATGAACTCATGAGGGAGAAGAAGGAATAGTATGAATTGAAGCAGGAAAGGGGAGGATGGAAATGATATAAATATAGCACTTGTGTATGAAATACTAAAAAAAAAAAAAAAGAAAAAAGAGCCTACAGATAAGTCATTTTAAAATCTTTAAATAAAAGCACAACTGTCACAGAACATCTTTAAAAAACTAGACCAGTCTGATCATCCACAGAAGCAAGCATTTTTCTACTATTGTTACACAGTAAAAAAAATGCAGTTTCAGTGTTTAAGTGTGTTTATGGCCATCATACACTCTAAAAAAAATTCTCCAAATTAGTTATCACTTGAGTTTTCAAAATTTATTTATGGTTTAAAAGTGCCTTAGTTATTGGGGACAACTTTTGATAAATGGGTACTATTAAGAAATACTCAAAACCAAAAAAAAATAGAATGAGGAAAACCTGATTTCCCTATTTCCAGTGAATATACAAAGACAAACTCAAAAGAATTAACTTTATTGAAAGAATCCGATTGATTAATAAGTAATTAATAATAGTTTGAAGCACAGCACCAACATATTGACAGATACAGCACCATTAAAGATGGTGATAGGGCCAAATGTCCTGCTTTGGATGGCTAGTAACTACAAAAGAAGCTTGGTCAATTTACAAGACACCAGTTTCCTATTTCACCTATGTTAAAGGCAAACATTCTGCCTAACTCATTTCCTAAACAGTACACAGAATAATGACTAAAAAACAGCAAACACCCAGTGCAGTTATCCATTCACTAGGTTATCCAACTTCAAGCTGTCCATACAAGAGCTGCTAAAGTAAAACCAGTATGCTTGTTTTGGTTTACACGGATGGCACGGAATTATGGGAATACGCTGCCCTCAAATGAAGAAATTCAAAACAACTGTATATAGCTTAGAAACCCTAGGTCTAAACATGGCCTTGAGGAGTCACAGCTGGGACTGTAGTTATGAGAAAGGCTGGAGCTGGCAGTGAGAGGTCTTCTACTCTACATGTGATGGCTTCATTTAAACCCACAGATTATAAAATTACCTGACAATTTAAAGGGCTCTCAGGTCCATTTCACATTCTTTAAGCAGTGACCTCACCTTTTTCATGAAGCTTGTATCCTGTCTACAGATTTTCTCTCTTTTTATCTTCAAGTCAGCCACATCTGGTATTATTCTAAAAACAATATATCAGTCATTTTTAATGGCTAGCACATTTGGCTATAATAACTTCTATTTTCTGGAGAATTATATTTGAATGCAAGAATTTGAATGGTGACACATCTACAAATAGTTTCAATGTTTATATAAAATGATATTACTTGATTTTCACACTTAACTAAGAATTATATCATTTTCGTTCATAGTGTCATTCTTAGGCTTAAAGCAAAAGTAAAATAAAACCATTTCTTAATCCGTGCAAGTAGTAATTGCCATATTCCCCTCTAGAGAGTACACTGAATGACACTCCAACACATAATTTTAAAACACATTAATAAATCATTTTGACAACAATAAAAGAACACCCCCTCCATCACAAAAACAGATCTCAACACACTGAGAAAACTGAAAGCTCTCAAGAAGTACATCCAGACATGGTGAGTCACCTGATGCCACGAAGCTTTGCCCTGTTGTCATGGCGATCCATTAGGTTGTGCATTACTTCCAAGACTAGCTGCCTCAGCTCATAGTCTTCCATGAGGGATGGCGATAACAGAGGGTCCAGAAATGACCCAGGCAATGCAGTAACAATTGTCTTGGCTTTGTATCCAGAAGTCACCTGATTACAGAGAAAAATCAACAATGTTTTCATTAGCCCTTGGGCAAAAATTTCACATTACTCTTTTTAACCACAAATTCAGGGAAATAAAAACTATGGGAACAAGCTAAAGAAATATATAAAGGAAAGCTGTAAGATAGTGAAGATGCAAGAATTTTAAGAGCATTATTTGTAACAAGAATAAGATGAACCTCACACATCTGGTATGTGATCCCATGTGCAGGCTCAACTGTAAGCTCTGCATATCTGTGCACTCTGTCCTGACAATGGTCATGCAAGGGTCATGAAACAAATACAGGGAGAGCAGGTGGAAAACAGCAAAATCTGAACCTGCAAACTGTTGTTTTAAAGGAAGCCACTGGGAAATAGGACGTATTTTCATTTTGGAAAATTGTTTTTGTTACCATATTTGACATTCACGATAATTTAAACTTCTTCCAATTTTCAAACTTTGAAGAAGAATATAATCAAGTGCTATGAAACATTTAGAAACTACGCCACAGAAGAATTCACAAAGCTGACTAGTATAATTAGGATGAGAAGCATGGTGGTATATTAATATCTACAGAAATTGTTTTCTACAAAGAATTAGAGCCAAATCTTAAGAAAAAAATTTATAAGGAAACTGAAATACCAGTGTTTGTGTTATCAGAATATGAACATGTTTTTAAGCAAGATACAATAAATAAAAAAGACACATGGGAAAGGACTGATAAATATCACTTCAGCTGGATTCAAAATCTTATATAACAATCACCAGGAAGAGAACTAAAACTGAAACCAGAGAAGATTCTTCTGTGCCTAAGCATGAAACATGGGATATAATACCACACATTTAAAAAGGTCTCTCGAATGAACTTCAAAGACACGAGTTGGAAGAATCAGTAACTGCTTTGTCCTTGACATGATGTGAGGAGGTAAATGAAAATGGTCTATCTCAATCAAGATCTGAACAATGGCAACAGCAGCTGACATGTCAACATGGACGGAGGAAATCTCACAAAGACCCACTCCCTAGATGAAAAGCTACAGAGAGTTAGAGTCTGCTGAAAGAGGGAGAATTAATCTTTCCCAGAGATGAGGCCACTAAACTGTCACCCCTAAAACATACATATGAGCAACAATAAATGGACTCAGTAAATTCCATTTATTCATTCATTTTACATATATATGTAACAATAATAATTAAAGAATAAGAGCCCATAAATGTGAAAAGCAAGGGGGGAAGGAGAAGTTTGAGGGAGGGTGGGAAATTATGCAACTACATTTTAATTAAAATCTAAGAAAGAAAAAATTGTATTTATCATCCAGTAAACAGAGGACCTTTGTTTTTTTTTTCCTATTTTGTTATTTACTGCCACTCTAAATTTAAAACAACAAATACTGTCAAAAAGAAGCCATTATGCACAGTATGTAGAAGGCACTATGGATTTTCATCTGAATTCCAGTCTCTGGCTCAGTAACTTTGGACCTCTTTAATTCTATCCATTTAACTCATTTGAGCAGAGTGGGTATCTCTACCTACAAAATGAAAGTTGTTTCTGTCATCTGTAAACCTGATCATAATGAAGATCAAAATAAAATGACAGAACAGCTGAACACTGAATAGTGAGAAGATGGGAGAGATATTCAAGTAACACAGTAACAACCAGCCAGTCTCTTACTGCGGACCGAAAGAAGAAAGCTGGCAGTGATGCCACTCTTGTCAGCAATTTAAGGGGTATGCCCCTCACTTCTATTAAGACTTCTTACCATAAGCAAAGACCTCAGCAACATTATCTGAATCCTCCTGGTTCCCAAATCCCTGAAACACACAAAGTATTGTGTTACTAATACTAATTTACATTTATATTACCTTCAGCTACATAAAATACCTTTTTCTGATTTTAAAACATTATTCTTACTGGCTAAATAGATTTTACTTATTTTTATGATTGCTTATAAAATTACACTAAAATAAATTTATACACTAAAATATATTTATATGAATTAACTTTCTACACTAAATAAATTTATATGAATTAAAATAGATATATGTAAAAAATTTAAACACCAAATCAAGTTATTGGGTCTTCAAGAACACAAACTGATGTACTGATATGAAGATTAAATCCTCCAAGTACAAGACAAGTGATCCAGGGGCATGTGGAAATACCAACTGTCCTTCATGAACACTACAATACAGTTATTAAAAAGAGATAGAATGCTACTTTGATCTATTTTAACATCATACATTGCACACGTGTTACATTCTTATCTTATTCCCCATAAAAAGACAGAACTGTAATAACTTTTGTAAGAATAGAATTTCCTTAGTTGATTTTTAATCTTTGTGCCAACAATAACCATCTCTCTATTTATTCTTTCTTTCAGGCATCATTCTTACCCACTTGTTAAGGAAACATGTTAACCCACAATACTAGTAATCCTATCCAATTTTCTCCAGCTGACAGTGTTTTTTAAAACTTAACTGACTATATGGATCCATGGACTGTAAGCATGCTATGCAAGTATAAATACACAGTGATCAAATCTGATAGAATTTCCATCTCCTTAAAAGTTTAAAGAATGTTTCTTACGAAAACCCATAGTTACGTATATTTATAAGGCATAATGAGATTATTTTAACACATTAGCTAAGGTTTAGCTATATTACCATATCAAATCTATAAAGAGGGATAATTCACCTCCCAAGCCAATATTCCTGATTCATTAACAATGTTTTAAGATTTCAGGAAGTTTAAATTCCATCCCTCGTATGGTATGTGCAGACACACAATGGAGAGGCCAAATGCATCTTCCATTCCATCAATACAAGAAGAAAAAAAAAAAAAAAAAAAAGAAAACCAAAACCAAAAAAACAAAAACACCTAAGAATTTCTAAGTTAAAAAATGAAAGGTGTTGATTTAATACCTTAATGCTATACTACCAAAAGAAAACACTGTTGCTTTGTATTACTAATATTTCAGAACACTATCATTTTCTTGAGTTAAAAAAAATGTAATCTAATATTGACTTCATTTCCAGTCTGAGAACATACCCTAGTTGACTGATATCCAAAGTATGAGTGGATGTTCCAAAAACAGGCACTTTCCCCATGATGAACATCATGATCTCTGATCTCTGATAGTCTGGTAAGTTACTTCCAAAAAAGCCTGTAAACACATGAAGACAAATTTCATAGATTGAGAAGTGGTAATTTTTCCATATAACTCAAAACTATTTTTAAATTATTTTATTATATTTTAGGTATTTAGACATCCTGCCTACATATATGTCTGGGTACCACTTGTATGCTTTGGATACAAGGTGGCCGAGGAGGACATCTGAAGTTACATACACATGGTTGTTATCCTCCATGTGGATGCTAGGAATTGAACCTGGGTACTTTGGAACAATAGTCAATGTTCTTAACCCCTGAGCCATCTCTCCATCCCACAAAGTTGTATTTTTAAACAAAGCTTCCAGTAGATTAAAACAATGACTGTGTTCAAGCTACATATAACATTAAATCAATTAAAATTTCCACTATCTAACATAATGTATAATATAAATATTTAGTTAAACTTCTGCTAGTAGTTTTTAGGAAACTCTTATTTGCAGATGGTAAACCTAAATTCCTATGCTACTAAATCAGCAATTACCCATGTCTGGAATACACCAGAAATAACTCAACCCCCAAACTGTATACTATAAACTCCCAGCATCTAATGATGTTAGCACTACTCCATATGCAGAGTAATATCCATCTGTACAGTATCTCAGGTGAACCCCAAGGAACAGAATTCCACAATAACCTTCTGAGCCTAGGTCCCTCTTTAGTTTCCTCTCAAATAATAGTGATGTTTACCAGTTTTGAAAACTTGGTTTCATAAAACAAAACAAACAAACACCTTTGCTGTGTGGAAAAACTTACTTAGAAATTTATTGGTAAAGTTAAGATTAGTTTTCTTCAGTGGGGGCTCACTGGGTATATTAACCACACTTAAGGGCAGGCCCGATGCCCAGCAGTAGATAGCCAACACAAACGCAGTGGTATCTGTGTAGACTCTGATACTTATTGCTTTGTTTGGGCATTTTTTTGTCCTATTGGCCTTTTGTCTGTATATTATGATTTCAGATGTTGTATTTTTGTGGGTTGTTTTGTGTGTTTATGTGTGTATGCATATTTTTGTGTTTTTTTTTTCAAAAATTCTTGTTTTTTGTTTGTTTGCCTGTTGGCTTTCTAAAAAGAAAGAGAAAGGACATGGAGTTAAATGGGTGGGAAAGATCTGAGAGGAGGTGGTGGTGGAAACCAAAAGCAGAATATACTGTATGATAATTTTTTTCAATAAAAAATATTTAATGGTAAAAGCCACGATGTATGCAACATATTATAAATTTACTTTTAACACTACATGTATGCATGTTTTCTTATACACATATTCATAAAAAAGCATATACACATGTATACATGGAGAGATGGAGGAGTGTTAAAACAAATGAAAGAATTAGCATCAAATGTCAACAACAGGTGCAAACAGGTAAAGGACAGTGTTCTTATGGCCAACACAAGCTCACCATTTCTTCAAACACACAATAGTTAGATATGTGTTTAAAGAAATTTCTGCACTCTGACAAAGGCACTGCACAAGCCAGGTAGCCTATGTGACAGCATCTTATATCACCATGGCTTGAGAACTGAATCACAAACCTATAGTCTGGATGACAGCATTCTGCACAATCTTCTCATCATTGTCTTTACAGCTTGAGGTGACACTGCCTACAGATCCCCTCTGGGAGTCATTGGCTTCCAATTCCACACTGAATCGCAGGTGCTTCAGCAGAGTGTTGAAGACTTCCAATACTGTTGGTCCTGTGACAACAGAACATCTGTGAGCTCTTACACCCAAAATCAACCCTCAAACTTCTCAGCAGACCTTAGTCATTTTCTTTTTCTGTCAACAATACTAGTTGTTGTTGTTTATGAGATTTATTTAGTTTATTTATTTAGTTTATTTATTTATTTATGAGATATCTAGTTTATTTTTCTGAGTTGTCTAACTAAACAACAAATCAAAGCAAGGTTTCTACTTCAATTTTGGGTAATAAAACCATCACCAGATTCTCCCTCTAGCTTCCATACCTCCATCACAGTCCCTCCTTTCCTTAATCACATGTGCATGAAATATCAAGATCTTTGACTTTGCTCTCTTTCCTTTGTTACCTTGCAATTGGCCAGCTTCCCAGGCATGCTGACCAAGGACGAGGTCTTTCCCTCACACCTAAGCAATGATGGCACTTCTTTTAAGCCAACCCCACACTTTGCAGCACATCTCTAGTCAATCTTGATAGCTCTTGAGAACTGCAGAATGACTTGCTTGCACAGTGACTTTAAAGATACTTCTCTTGTTTCTCCCACACATTCTAGGAAAATGAACTACAGACTATCCTGCTTTTGCTAATCCACATTCCTGCAGTTTTCTGATCCCTGGCCATCTCAGGCGACATGTGATCAGAGTGTCTGTATAGTACAGAATTAGGTAGAATAGTCTAAGTACACTACACATGAAAGAAGTCCTTTACCAAAATGGCTGGGGTCACAAATGTTTGAGATTTAGTAATGTTTGCATATATGTATATGTGTATATGTTTCTGTGTGTGTTGGTAATACCTATATATACATAGAGACAGAATCCAAAACAAACACCAAAATCAACCCTAAAACACAAATTTATCAGTGTTTCCTATACTCCTCACACATAAGACGATTTTTAGTGTCCCTGCACCAAAACAATTGTGGTCTACTTTCAGCATCATGTCAGAACTCAGTATGTTCCTACATTGAAGCATTTCAGATTCTGGACTTTTGGACTAGGAATTTTGAACCAGGTTTGGCAGTGCAGACCAGAAATCCCAGTCTTCCCAGGAGGCTAAGGTAGGATGGTTTCAAGTGTAAGAACGACAAAGTGAGTTCAAGGCCAGCGTGGAATGTTTAGTAAGTTGTTATTTCAAAATAAAAACTGTAAAAAGCTGGAATATGTGTCTCAGTAGAACACTTGTCTAGGATTGCAAGGCCCTTGCCTGAATACTCAGTATCATTAAAAAAAAAAAAAAAAAGACAGAGAGAGAAAGAAAAAGGAATGTTTAATTGAGCACAATTTGTATCACTTTGTAAATCAGCATTTATACAATGTTCAGTACACAAAGCCATAACCTAAAACTTTATTAAAAGAATTACAAGAAGTAGTAAATGAATGAGGGAAGAGAAAAAGAAGGAAAGACTGATCACATGCATCAAATTATAGGACCTATGAAAATGTGTGGATAGACCTTAAAGGGTACATTGTATACAAATACAGGGAAAACTTTGTACTTTTAATATTCTTTTTGTGTTTTATTGGTACTCACCTATGGAACCTTTAGCAGCAATAGCGACAGCCTCTAATAGAACCTGAATGATACCTGCTCGCACCCGTGGAGAATCCTTCTTTCGAGCATCAAGGTGTCCAAGAATTTCCTGGATCACATGGTGAGAATACTGAGCCTAAAGGAAACAAATAACACAAAGATGTGTGAGTAAGTAAATGCACATGGTATATCCCTAATGTTGGAGGTTGGTCTGATGCCTGTTACTGGCCCCCAAGATCTGGTTAAGAATATCCTTGTTTTATAAACCTGCCTAAGACATACCTGATTGGGAAGGACAGATTAAGGTAGGTGTGGCTAACTAAGGTTCCTGGGCTTGGAGAGGGCAGAGGAATCACAGGAGAGAGACTGATGGGAAGAGAGGAAGGAAGGAAGACACCATGATGGGTTAAGTAGAGGAAAAAAAAACCTCATGGGCCAGGAGGAAGGACTCCAACAATAGCATGGAAAGGCCCAGATGCAGAATAAAAGCAAGTATTTATAAGATTGTGGATAAAAGATAGTTCAGATGAGGACACAATAGAAGGCATTGGATGGGGGCTGGGAGAAGGATGGTGAGGGTATTGAGATAGTGTAGGTAATAGGTAAATAAGGCAATTATAAAATTTAACAGGTGTCTATGTCTTATTATTTGTGATACCAGACCTCTGTAATAATCTTAGGGCTAATAATAAATACAATATAGCCCAATAACAATTTTTTAAATTTACTACAACACCCTAGAAATGGAAAGACACGTGGCACTTTACAACTCCTTATAAAGGGCTGGTATTTATAACACATGTCTAGCAAAAACCATCTCTTTAAAGAATAAACAGTGATACTGAAGCTATTTAAGACATCCTAAAGAAAATAAATTACCAAATCCTGTATTTAACTTGGTGAGTAGCTAAAGAGATGGATCAGGGGTCAAGAGCACTCACTGCTGTTCTAAAGGACTCAGGGTTTGGGTCCCAACATGCACATGGCAGCTCACAACTGTTTATAACTCTAGTTCCAAAAGATCTGACGTCTACTTCTGGATTCTGTGGACATTGGACATGCATATGGTAAACATACATGAATGGAGGCAAAACACTCATAAGCATAAAGTAAAAATAATTTTTAAAAACAGAGAGGGGGAGGGAAGAGAGACACATAGAGACAGAGAGATGGATCCTGCCTCAACAACTGAAAGATAAGAACTAATTCTTGAGAGTTCTTCTCTGTCCTCTATATGCATGTCATTGGCATACACGTGCCCACCTTCAATACTCACACACACATACTCACATAAATAAATAAATAAATATTTTAAAAGCAAGGATGATTAAAGCTATAGAAACTACATATTAAGCACTGGCACCCAAAAGATTTATGAGAAATTTTAATCTCTTTACACTTTTAAACAATTTCATGAGCAACACTTAATATTTTACTCTTGTAATTTGACAATAGGACAGAAAGTGAAAAATCAATTATGAAAGGTATAGTACTCCTCTTACTATAGCTACCTTAACAGTGCTCTAGTCAAAGCCTGTATAATCACAAGCCAGTGTCAAAAGGAAAATACTATGAGTGTATAACTGACAAAATTTAAAGCAGAGGATTCACTACTTAGGGAGACAATTTTATAACATATACATGATTTGATCACTAACAGTAAACATTTAACTCCACTTAATTCTTTCTGTCTCTCTCTCAATCCCTTGCCCTCCCTCTTTTTTTGTTTTATTTTGGGTTTTTTGTTGTTGTTTGTTTTTTTTGTTTTTGTTTTTTTTTTGAGACAGGGTCTTCCTTCATGGTCCTGGCTGGCCTGAAATTAGATACATATACCAGGGTGGCACCAAATTCACAGATATCCACCTGCCTCTGGCTCCCATATAATATAATTAGAAATGTACATCTTCACTCCTGGTTGAACTCTTTTAAATGGAGATTGTTTTTTCTTGTTATTTCCCCAAACCTATACTGTGTGTGTGTGTCATATTTATGTGTCTATGTACACATGTGTGTATGAATGTGAAGGCCAGAAGTAAATCTCAGGTATGCCATCCATCTTACTTTTTGAAGCAGTCACTCACTGTTTCAGCTAAAATGGCCAGAAGCCCTGGGATCTGCCAGGCTCAGCCTCTCCTGTGTAATGACTATAAGCCTGTGCACTTGACTTTTGACACAGATTCTTTGGCTCAAACTCAGGTCCTCACATTTACATGGCAGCTACTTATCAACTGAGCTCTCCCTCCAGCCCTCAAAACCTATCCTGTACCCATTGTAATGAGTTCAGTGCACTAGAACAAAGTGCCCCTGTCCCCAAATCTCCATCTCTGCTTCCTTTAGACAGACCCACTGTCCTGTTTCTAAGATGGTTTCCTTTCTCTTCTTTGCAGTGGGTTATTTTATATTAAGAATGTGGTATACATACACAGTGGAATTTTTTTCCAGCCATAAAGAATGAGGTTATTTTGTTTGAAAGGTAATAGATAAAATGGGATGTACCTTAATTATATTAAGTGAAGTAAGTAATCTGTAAGTCCTAGATTGTATATGCACATATATACATCATATACATAAAATCATATACATACAGAAGAGAAGAAAATGAAAGTATACTACCTATGACTAACTAGTAGTTTGGGACAAAAAAAGGAAAGTAGAATTGTAAAAGGAGAAATATCTTATTAATGTATATAAAAGTGGCCTTATGCAACCAGTATAATAAAATTATATAAAAATATTAAAAACAAGCTACTTTGTTCAAAAGCACAATGTTCCTTCCATTTCTATTAATGTCACAGGTATCTCTAGATGTTTCTGACATTCTGTCTTGCCACCGGTACCTCCTTACAGCCTCAAGTAAGAACTCAGCCAGTGTTTGCTTTATATAAAGCTATGTTGAAATCGAAGTCTTTCTCGCTCTCCCTCTACCCACCCCCACTACTAACAACAGCAACAAAACAATATCTACCACCACCACCTGAATCAGAACTTCTTGACAGGAAAACTGCATGCTCTTCACGATCATCATGCAGCTAAGTCTGCCTGGTAGATACTTAATTTACTTTCTCACCATGCCACTTCTGTAATTGAGTGTGAGGATATTCTTAATAACACATTACGGCTATCCTAGGCAAACTAGGACCCAAGTTTATTCTACTTACAAGGGATTTGCTAAAATTAGTATAATATATTAAAGAGAATGCAGAGTGAAAGAACTAAAATTGAAGAATGTAAAATCACATTTTAATTAAGAGCTAACTAAATCTTTTCAGATTTTGAGGAGAAAAAAACAAAACAAAAGAAAGAAAAAAACCCAAAAATGGTCCTTTGTAGAAGCTAATGCACAGAAGATTCTATAAAGACTAAAGACCAAAAGTTATAACAAATGAAATCAATACCACCGGTATAATAGAGATACAAAATGCATGAGTTAAATAACTATCCAATTAAAAGTGGCACAAAAAATTACTTAATCCTCTTATTAAATATATTTTTTTGTCTTTGAAACAAGAAAATAAGCAGTAAATGAGAAAAAAATATAAATAAGAGCACGCCTTCTACCAGGTGTGGTGGTGTAGGCTTTTAATCCCAGCACTCAAGAGGCAGAGGCAGGTGGTTCTCTTTGAGTTTAAGGGTAGTTTAAGGGTAGTAGTTTAAGGGAGCAAGTTCTGGGACAGCCAGGTCTACTGAGTCAGACTGTCATAAAACACAAACAAAACAAAAACCATGCTTTGCATGTTAGTTTTCCACTTGTCTGATAATATGCTCATCCATAGAGAATGATCATTACCTATTTAATAAACAAACAGTTGATTAAACCTTACCTGAATAGAATACATTATAATCTTAAAGCAGTGAACTGCAAACTCATTAGGATCCCACAGCTTGTGATGATCTAAATGCCTGTAAATAACAATTAGAAATTAAGAATTCTTGGTTTTAGTCACATCTTACTTTAAAACTATCAACAAAATAAAAACCAGAGAACTATCTAAAAGAAAACTGAGGGTTCCACTTTCAGAACTATGACACACATTTCTAACTGTTGAGCTTGGCCATACAGTATTAACAAATACTAGCCTATGTAAATAAAGCAGTAAAAAAAAAAAAATACAGTCTATAAGAAGCACACGGTAGAAACTCCTGAATATGTTATTCATCTCATGCCCACCACTGTGGTGTTGAGTTTCAGATGTGTAAAGTCACAGATAAATTTTGGAAGCACTTGTGAAAGGCAGGCTGTCACCTCAGACTACAGTTCCCTGCACTGCTCAGGATCCTAGAAGACAGGGTTCCCCCAGACAAATAACAAACAAACAAACAAACAAACATAGAAGAAATTTAAAAACAAGCAAAAAACAAACAAACAAACAAAAAAACGGGTATCTTCTGTAGAAAGAGATTGGCAATAGCTTTGCTTGTCTTGGTCTGGATTCTGAATTCAGGGAGATATGAGAACCAAGTCTTTCCAGAAATTTTATCCATACACCTAAGATCCAGTTTAACTATGCGAGAGATTAAGATGGAATGTTTTTTAAAAAAAATCATCCTAAGTGAGATAACCTACATCTAAAAAGACAAACATGGCATTTACCCACTTGTAAATAGATATCAGCTGTAAGGTAAAGAATAACTATACTATAATAACAAGAAAAGCTCAAGGGAGAAGCATGAATCTACCTGGCAGTGGGAAATAGAATAGAATTCAAAGATGGACTGGGGGAAGGTAGGGACGGTAATAGGAGGTGGGAGAAGAGGAGGGTGGAGGGAGAGAGTACTGGGAGAGAAAACTGGAATAGGGGAATTGGGGTGGCATTTCAGGAGCGATGTGGAAACTTAGTACAATGGAAACTCCCTGAAATGAATGAGTGTGACTCTAGCAAAGACTGCTAATAATGGCGGATATGAAGTCTGAACTGGCCATCTGCTGTAACCAGTCAAGCCTTCCAGTGGTGGAACTGGGAGATTAACCCAGACACAAAAGCTTCAGTTTGTCCTGCCTGAAAGATGTGCTGGAGCAACAGTGGTACAGAACTTGTGGGAGTGGCCAACTAATAAGTGATTCAACTTGATATCCATGCCACAGGAGAGAATCCATGCATGACACTGACTGGAGGACCAGGAACCAGAGGCTGGATAGCCCAGAGACCTAAGATAGAACCAAACATGACTGGCCAAAAATAAATAAATAAATAAACAAACAGACAAACAAATAAATAAATAAATATGATAATAATTCCATTTTATACTCGTAAACTGTAGCCTAGCCCAACTGTCATCAGAAAGGCTTCATCTAGCAACTGATGGGAGCAGCTGCAGAGACCCACAGCCAAACAGTGAGAGAAACTTGGGGAACCCGATAGAAAACAAAGCACAAGACTGTAAGAGTCAGAAAGATAGAGGACAAGATAGACCACAAGAAATGGCCCACAAAATCAACTAACCAGGACTCAGAGAGGCTCACAGAGACTAAATGGACAATCAGGGAGCCTGTATGGATGTGGATTAGGTCCTTGCATATATGTTATGGTTGTATAGCTTGGTGTTCTTGTGGGAGTCCTAACAGTGAAAATAGGGGATGTCTCTGACTCTTTTGCCTGCTCTTGGGACCCTTTTCCTCCGACTGGGTTGTCTCATCCAACCTTGATATGGCGGTTTGTACCTAGTCTTATTGTAACTTGTTATGCCATGTTTCACTGATATCCCTGGGAAGCCTGTTTTCTTTCTGAAGGGAAAATGAAGAACAAATGGGTCTGGGGGAAAGGAGGTTATGGGGAGGGACTAGAAGGAGAAGAGGGAGGGTAAAGTGTGGTCAGGATGTAATATATGAAAAGAAAGAAGGAGAGAGAGAAAAGAAAGAAAGAAAGAAAGAAAGAAAGAAAGAAAGAAAGAAAGAAA